AAATAAATAAATAAATAAATAAATAAATAAATAAATAAATAAATAAATAAATAAAATCTTTTTTAAAAACAGGGAAAAAGAGAAGGCCTTTGGTCTAAATAGAAAAGTAAGCCTCCAAGTGGAAAAATGATAATTTGGGTTTTTGTTATTTTAGCAGCACAGGTTACTTTGATTTCATAATATTTTTATGTATTTTTTTATAGTTAGAAGAAACTGAGGCATTTCACAGAAAGTTGAATGAAGATCATCTTCTCCATGCTCCTGAATTTGTCATTAAACCTCGTTCCCACACTGTTTGGGAGAAAGAAAACGTAAAATTACATTGTTCTGTATCGGGCTGGCCAGAACCTCGTGTCACATGGTATGTTATCTGTATGAAAATTACTCATAGAATCTATTACACAAAACTAATTTTACTTCCAGTGAAGATATTCAGCATTGTGAATACGCAAGAGTCAGTGAAAGTACCTACAAGTTTGTACAGATTTTTTAAATAGTGAGGAAAGGATACCAGGATGAATATTTTATGAATGAGAAGAAAGAACAGTCTCATGTACATTATGATATATTATGATACTTCGTAATCCTGTTATAAAAGGGGTCTTTATTGCATAAAGTATTAAAATATAGTCAACATACTTACATACAAAGAAAATACATGGCTATAACTGCTATGGGCCATAAAATGTAAACAGAAATTTGCTCCCATACAATATAGGTATTATTTTGTGACCAGAAGCAATGCTCTTAAAAAGATAATTAAAACCCAGAAGGCTTCATCTCTACTCCTCACATGACCTGAGATCTCAACATGCTTTCTAAAGCCACATGGAAGAGGGAACCGGATGGAAGATATTACTCAATACGGGGTCTTAAGAAATTTTCTTTCCATAAAGAATAAGAACCCATTTTCTCTCTCTCATTGCAATTGTCAATGACTTGATGATCCCTAAACTCCAGACTTTCCTGTTATATGTCATGAATACCTGTCACAGACAGCAGAAGTATGAAAATGATAGAGCCAACCTAAAAAGATGTTTTCTGTTTAATTCCCTGACACAGGTATTTGGCATGCTGTTTTTTTATCCTCAGGAGTGGTGGTAAATGCACCCTATGTTGCAGTATAAATGCCAATGGCAATGACATTCTGTGTGGCATTTATACTGCAACATAGGGTGCATTTACCCCCTGCAGAGGGCCTGCCTCCTCCTTTCTTAAGGCCATTATTTCTGTTGGTTAGACACCTGCCTAGGACTAAGGGAGGTAACTGACAAGGAACATATTTCAATGAAAATGAAGTTTTAAAAAAGTCAATTTACAAGCTTTAAAGTATAAAGGTATACTATATGAAGCTAGGAATCAATCAGCCTTAGCCCCACCTTTCTCTGCGACTATGGAGTTGCATACTTTGTTTGGCCCATTAAAGGGATATTTCCTCTTAAGAAACTGATTACTTCCCACCTCATAAAAAAAATCTAAACTTTCCAATTGAAATGTGTAAAGAATAACAAATTTTCAGCTCTAATAATTATTTGGTCAGTAAGAAATTCCTCTTATGAATTAAAATGTACTCCTGATAAACGAATAATTGGAATCCTTAATCAAGTAGATTTATTTATTGCACAATATTCTTTTCTTTCCTGCTTTTTAAAAATTAGAGTTAAAGATGATTTTCAAAAGGATACAAAAGAATTTCTGGGAGCTAAATACTAATCTCTTAAGCACTTGTTAAATACATAGCTGCTAAAATACAATACAACCATGCCATGTACCACTGATGGTGTTACTGAGCCAGAGTGATGTGTTTTCATGAAAGGAGAGCTCAAACTCTGTTAAAGATTAAATTCCTGCATCACGTTTTGTTGGCTGGAAAAGGAGTGATTTAAAAACAAGCATCACTGATATGAGGAATTCTTAATCTCAGGAAACAAACTGAGGGTTGCTGGAGGGGGGGGGGGGGGGGGGGGTGGGGGTGGCTGGGTGATAGACATTGGGGAGGGAATGTGCTATGGTGAGCGCTGTGAATTGTGCAAAACTGTTGAATCACAGATCTGTACCTCTGAAACAAATAATGCAATATATGTTAAGAAAAAAAAAAGAAGATAGCAGGAGGGAAAAAATGAAGGGGGGGAAATCGGAGGGGCAGACGAACCAGGAAAGACGATGGACTCTGAAAAACAAACTGAGGTTTCGGGGGGGGGGGGGGTTAGCCTTAGTGATGGGTATTAAAGAGGGCACGTTCTGCGTGGAGCACTGGGTGTTATGCACAAACAATGAATCATGGAACACTACATCAAAAACTAATGATGTAATGTATGGTGATTAACATAACAATAAACAATTTAAAGAAAAAAATAAAAAAATAAAAACAAGCAAAAAATATAGACTCCCCACAAAAATATGAGATGACTAAATTGGCAACTCTTTGAATCCTAGTTAAATTGAAAAATAGAAATTCTGTCAATTTTCAGTTATTCTCACTAATGGAGCTGAGAAATAGTATGATTGGCTCCCTAAATCTTTCACATCTAGCTTTGAAATATTTTTTTTTTCTTAACATTGAGTCTATATCCCAGGGGCTCATTTTAAATAAAAATGAAGATATAGACACAAGATTTGTCTCAGGAACAATTGGGAAGCTATTCATTTACTGTAACAAGTCTTCTCAAGTTCCTGCATATCCTTTAGTGCTTGGAGGAGACAGCTCGATTCTTTATAAAATTCTCCCCATAGGGAGAAATCAGAGCATTTCACAGAAAATCCTATTGCCTTGCAAGCCAAGTGAAAAGTCAATATGAAAACAGAAGAACCAGTGGACCACTAAGAAAATAGTGAACCGTACTTTAGAGAGCAAGATTTGCCCTTGGATAAAGCTTAAATTTAGACAGCTAGCAGATAACTGAAAATTGGCTATGGCAGTAAACAAGGTCAGATCCAGGTTTTGTGGGGCATGAAGCTCATACAATTCAGGGTCACTCTTTACAAAAAAGAATGTTAATAATATAAATTAGGCAGTGAGCCTTGAGGACACCCGTGCTGGTGAGAGACCTGAAGCTCCATTGGCCTCCAGGTAAACCCACCTCTGGGAGTAAACTGTGTGTGGGATCAGTGTACCTTCCTGGGTATGCTGCCTTTTAAAAAATAATCATTAAATGAAGCTCTAACTTACTTTGTAACACTGGTACAGAGTACCCAGTCTTCAATAAGCATTTTCCCCTCAACGAGCAGGAGACCCACAACCCAAGTACAAACCATGGTTTTTGGTGATTACTTTGCAGGCATTTATGTCTTTTCGTTACTCAACTGTAGCTTTCTGGGCCTAACACTGAGGACAAGTATGAAAGAAATAATTGGGAATGGCTTTCCTGAATAGAAGGAGGTGAATCATGGGAACAAGTTTGTGACGATGCTTTCTGCAGTCATGCTGCCTCGCCTTGTAGCTGTTAGGTCCTTAGCCATGCTTTTTCAAGGGCATGTGTGCCTGGGGCCTGTTTCCCTTAGAGCCCTTTCCAAAGAGGGTTAAGTTCCAAGTTTCCACTAAGCACCCTCGAGACATGGAAATCCCTGAGGTCTAACAAATGATATGAACAGGCAGCAGCTGCTCTTTGGCCAATCCCGTGTACTGACCAAGTCTGTCTAAATGTAACCTAGAGGTTACTCAGAAAACACTAAATGACAGGAGCACATATCACTCATCAGGGCCAGGTGCAGAGATGCCAAGGGGCACTGTCTGATTCCCAAGTCACTTTGAGAGCAGAAGGAAACCTGTTTAGGCATTGGGTCCAGTAGAAAAGTTAGTTGCGAGGATGCTTCTGCACCACCACAGTGAAGCTGGCCATCCTGAAGGAGGGCTTTGTCAACACAAAAGGAAATGTATATATATATGGTGAAAAATGCCAAAATTGTTTTACTTAATTTAATAGGCTGTATTTATATAACTTGTATAATAGGCTACATATTGGTTTAAAAGAGGAAGAAAAAGATTACATTTGTATTTGTTTTACTTGCATAAAGAAACCCTGGAAGGATTTGTAAGAACCCAAGGAGAACAGTTAGCTGTGGGAATGAGCTGGGTTGAAGACAGACGCGTTTGAAGGAGACTGTTCCCTGTGTACCTTTATACTTTCTGGTTCTTGGACCATATAAATGCATTGCCTATTCAGATTTTTTTAAAGTATATGAAATAGGGGAAAAGAGAAAAGTTCTCTTTTAAGAAAGGAAGGAATTGAGTTAATTTTATACTTTTTTAAAAAAGAGACAGATTTAATTGGATTTCCAGTCCAAAGTCTAGATCAATTTTGTCAATGAAAATCTGGATTGTAATCTGTGGGGAGATTCATGCAAACTCACTGGAGCAATGTGTTGGTGTTAGTGAGTAGCAGTTCACTCATTTACTCACTCAACACCCATGTTTTTGGATTTATCTGCGAATACTAGGCTAGACCATCAAGTGGGACAGTTAAAATACTTGTTTGGAATTCTTCACTTTGCCCCTAAAGTTACTGCCAAATAGACACTTAAAGAAATTTGTCATTAGGCATGATAATAGTTCAAAACCTCAGAATAAAATAGTAGAAGAAATGTACTTCAGGAATTGTCTGGGGATTTGGAAAAGTGTTATTCTGTTTTTGCAAATTATGAGAATTTATAAATTCCATAATAGAATCATACATTGAATTTATTTACAAGATTAGAGTTATTCACGATGTTATTTAAAGTTAGCTTTAATTACTACCATATTATCTTTGGAAAGCAACCTACATTTAAAATAGTTTAAAATTAAAATTATTTATAATTTATAATTACTTCCCAACATAAGGGTTTGGGGTTTTATTTTAGATTTTTCTTATTTATTTAAGTCCAAAATCTAACCTAATGGGTTAGAGCTCTCTCAGCCAACTGGTTTTTAAAGTGGGTAATAGCTATTTATTAAAAATACAAAGTTGGATTCTAAGTAGTAATCACAGTTTGTGGTGAGATTCAGCATGTTAAAGATCATTTTGGCATGCATTATTTGTTGATAGAAAAGAATCGGAATGCTTGGCCATGCTGTACGCTGCCAAAGAGCTTTCACTTACAACCCCTTGTTACCAAGTCAGCCCAAGATTCAGACATTTATTTGGGGGAATGAAATCTGTGTTTTACGTACATAAAGGAAGAATATTATCCTACAAATACTTACAGTATAATGAAAGCTCATTAACTACGTGAAAGTGGTAAGGAAAATGGTGTACATCTGAATAGTCACAAGAATTTCAGAAGCCTTGGGGCACCTGGGTGGCGCATTTGGTTAAGCCTCCAACCCTTGGATTTGGCTCATGTCATGATATCAGGAGCCCATCTAGTCATAGGGCTCCCCACTCAGCAGAGAGTCTGCGTCCCCCCCCGCTCCTCCCCCTACTCATGCACTCTCTCTCTCTAAAATAAATAAATCCTAGGAAAAAAAAGAATTTCAGAAGCCTTTTGACAAATAATCCCAAAGTGTAGGTTACTCTCCAAAATTAGCCTCTGACTAGCCTGTTTGGAATTTCACTTTCCAGAAATAACAAGCTCTGAAGAATATACAGAGCAGGCCAGAAATCTCATAGTGGAACATAGGCAGTCTCACAGTGACCCCAAACCTGAATGACTAAGTGAAGTTCTCAGAGAAGAGAAGAGAATTGCTTCTTAACTCAATCCGTGTGTGCTGCTTTACAACAGGCTTTTCTTACACTGCCATCCAGAGTTCCAGAGGAAAGACTCGAAGGTCCTCAAAGTGTTGTGTATCGTGTGCATGTACATTTTAAGCCGACTTCTTATGCAAGGTGGTCACATTAGAAAAGTCCTGGGTATTTAGCTGGGGGGAAGGCATTAAGGTGCTAAGTGGGGTAGTGCTGAAAAGCAAGGAAGGTAAAGCGACCCATGGCAGCTACAAGATACTGTTTTAACTCAAAGTTTACGGAAATACGAACATTTTTGGTCGAAGCCAAACTGAGTGTCACTAAATTGGTTGCTCAGGTACCACTTGCCATAGCCTTCGGTGTCACATTTCTCTCCTTATACTAAAAAGAACTACCGAAAACACCCCAGCTCATGCACAAACTTGAGCAATAGGGAGCTTTTGAGTCAAGTGTGAAATTACTGAGACCAATTTCTTCTGAGGAACATGCCGCTTAACTTGTTCTACCCTGTCATTCATCAATACAAGGAATGTTTGAAATTAGGAGCACCTAGCAGATTTCTTTTTCTAGGCCATCTCTGCTCGAATAGCCCTGTCTGCCTGGAGCTCTGGTGAGACAGCCGGCCGAGGACACTCTGGGGCTGGCAGGGAATGGATCGCCCTTCTGCCGTGGGTGGGGTAGAAGGTTGTGCCTCCCCACCTGCCACGCAGCTGTGATCCCCCAGCCAGGGCAACCCTCTCATTTCACGTCGGAGGGAACCGAGACACAAAGAGCCTCAATTTACTTTCTTGGCATGTGCTTATTTTAAATTAGCCATATCATGAAGTACGTGTTTGTCAGAACTCTGTTCCTTCATCCAAACATTATGAAGCCACAATTAATCTATTGTTATACAATAATTCTGTTCAAGCCAATTTAACAAACACTGAGTGCCTAATATTTGCCCATGACTCATCCTTCCTTGAGAGTGGGAATAGAAGTAAAAATGGATCAGACACAACCCCCATCACCAAGGCAATGACAGCTTAATGGAAGAGACACATATCCAACCAAAATGTGGTGAATGTTCTATCTTGCAGCTTGAACAAAGTAACACTGGTGTAGAGAGGCAGGAACAATTAATATCATGTGGGATTTCAGGGAGGAGTTTATTGAAGAAATGGCATTTGATCTGAACCTCAAAGGATGAGCTGGGATTTTGCTAGGCGTAGAAAGAGAATGACACATTTTTAAAAGTATAGAAAATGAATATGTTTTAGGGACAAAGGGTGTGTGTGTGTAAGCTGGGGAGAGGAAGGAACTGACTGAAGATTATTTCCTTTCTTTCTCTCCCTTTCCACCACTTTCCCTGCTCCCATACTTCGTTATAACCATTTCCAGAAGTCTGAAGAAATAAAATGCTGCTAAACAGAGTATATTTGGAAAATGGAAGGATCATATGTTGTCACAAGCTGGATGCTTGGTTTCAAATCCCAGCTCTGCTCTCTAGCTGTGTGAACTGGAGCAAGTTATTTAACTTCTCCATGCCTTGGTTTCTTTATCTGAAAAATGATGTTAAAAATAGGCTATCTCAGGCAGTTGTTGTTAAGAATTGAATTTTCTTCTTCTTCTTTTTTTTTAAGATTTTATTTATTTATTTATTTGAGAGAGAGAGTGAGAGAGAGCATAAGCAGGGGGTAGGGACAGAGGAATAGGGAGAAGCAGACTCCCTGCAGAGCAGGGAGCCTGATGTGGGACTTGATACCAGGGCCTTAGGATCCTGACCTGAGCCAAAGGCAGACACTTCACTGACTGAGCCACACTGGTGCCCCAGGATTGAATTTTCTGATCTATGTGTAAAGCACTTAGAACCTTGTTTGGCTCATAGTAAATGCTCTGTCTCAGTTGTGGTTATTAGTGTTATTTACGTTATCTGTGCACATGAAGTGGTGTGTCTGAAGGGAAAATAAGTGAAATCTAGCTCTTCTTTTGGACAGAAAATGGCTTCAGCAGAAAAGCCTGGTTGGGCATCATAGTCATTGGTTATTGAAGGCATGAGGACGTGGTGAAGAATCAAGATGCCACTTCCAGACTCAGAAGATGGTGTCTCAGGAAGGGCCCCTCCATGTGGGCCTACCCTCTGAGGGCTGAGAGGCGTAACCAGGAAGAGGACAGTTAGAAAAAGGGAATCTCTCAACTCTTATTTGTCAGACTTTTTCTTTCATGATTGATATTTAAGTTCTTCCAAACCAAAAGCCATGCTTGCTTTTAACAGAACAAAACACTTAAATATAAGAGCTTTCAATACAATGACATTGTTTTTAACAACATGCAAGAATGTTAGTAGGAAGAATGTTTTGCTTTCATCCCACACAGACAGCCAACAATAAAACCCCCAACACAAAGCCTTTCTTTCTGTCTTGTCAACAATGGACGAGTTTTTCTTTAGGTCTTTGATTGAAGTATAATATACACACACAAAAAGTACATATTACATATAAATGTAGAGCTTTGATGAGTTTTTGTAGACTGCACACACCCATGTCACCAGCACCCAAACAAGAAACCAAACAATATCAGCGCCAAGATGCATCCTTCATATCTGCTGTCTACACCCCAGGGAAATCACTCTCTTGACTTCTAACAGCAGTAATTTGGTCTTATATGGGTTTGTACTTTATATAAAAGCAACCAATATACTATGTACTCTTTTTTTAAAGATTTTGTTTATTTATTTATTTATTTATTTGAGAAAGAGAGAGAGAGAAGCAGACTCCCTGCTGAGCAGAGAGCCTGATGTAGGGCTCAATCCCAGGACCCCGAAATCATGACCTGAGCCAAAGGCAGATGCTTACCTGACTGAGCCACCCAGGAGCCCCTATACTATGTACTCTTTTGTGTCTGGCTCTTTTCACTCAACATTGTGTATATGAGACTCCACCACACTGTTGTGAATGGTCAACTTCTTCAATGTAATTTTTATGATAGAGGAGAGGAAAGCACGCTCATCGAGAAGTTTAATTGTATTTATAGTGCATTTTATTTAATCTGCTGTAGATTTGTATTCATTCAACAGATGCTGCTGCAACCTCAGTGCTGTGTTTATGGGTGTCCCTTCATGAACAAGAATCGTGTGTGTGTGTGCTTTTAATCATAAAGCTATCTATATTTCAACTTACTTTGCCTTGTTTCCATTGTCTCACAGGTATAAAAACCAGGTGCCAATCAATGTCCATGCAAACCCTGGAAAATATATTATTGAGAGTCGATATGGAATGCACACTCTGGAGATCAATGCGTAAGAGGATGTCAGGGTCCATGTGTGTCACTTGACAGTTGCCTGGGGAGGCAGTCTCAGCAGTTAACAACCGCTGTCCCCCTTTCTTCCAAATGCACCATGGTCACAAAGTGGTCTTACGTTTGAATTTAGTAATGATGAGAAAAAAATTAATTTGTACCTTATCCTTTTATATACTTGAGAGTTTTTCTTAGACATTAGTGAGAAAATAAGTTACATAAATAGGCATTTATATTTAGTTATCCTTCCCCATTCTAAATCGATATCATCAGCAGCATTATCCTTTTTTGCCTTGAATCAGCAAAGGCCATGGAGATTGTGGTGGGTGGCAGTGAAAGTAAGCTGCACCAGGATAAATTCTCTCCTTCAGCTCCCCAGGAAGTGTGGGTAACTATGCACCCACCCTGTCAGCCTGCAGATGGAGGCAGGACTGGACAGGGGAATGTTTTTAAAGCAAAATCCAAAGCAAAATTTGAAAGCCAAACCCACCTCAAAATTTCTAAGTCCTCAAACATTTAATCTATCTCCTAATATGGTTTTGAATGCAATTCTGGTTATGTGGATGAAGAAGTCCCACCATTTTTAGTTCACATGAAACCATGACATGCTGAGATGTCAAAGTAAAATTTACATCATTCTGATCAGAGCAGATGACACACATGATACTGGGTTTCAAGCAGGACCCTAGGGCCCTGGGACATTGTCCAAGCACTGACCTTGACCTAAAGTCACTTCAGTTCTGCCATTTGGTGGTTCTACTGAGGCTGCAGTGAGCTATGTGTTTGCTTTATAATTAAATAATTATGAGAAAGGCAACCATATTGACCTTCCTGGAGTTCCATTGATGTCCATAAAATTTCAACGAGAAATCAGTTTTTAGAAATGACACTAAATCCAGAAGGTCAACGAGGAACACAGACACTGGTTGTGATAAGACACAAAACAACCTGCTTTGAAATCTTAGCTTGTTCATCTCTGTGAGATCATTCTTTCTCTTACTCCATTATTAAACCTATCCCGATTTCTGTATTATAACTTGTAGGAACTTCTAAATGGAGCTGCTGTGCTGTGCTGTGGGCTGAAATTCCAAGTGTGACCTGAACCTTAGTTGAGTTGAGAGATAAACACCATATTTGCACTTTGAAGCTAGAACACCGAAGCATACATTAGACAGACCCGGATCCGGTTTGTAGCTCAGGGAGCCTGCGGGAGTCCTGTAGGGGAGACTGTGTCTTTCCCTCTCTGTCGCCCTGTTGCCCCCAGACTGAAACTCTCCCTGAGGGAGGCCAGCAGGAAAGTTGTACCCATGGGGTGCTCTGGGAAGTTACCTGCATGGGCAGACATTTTCTGCTCCTGACACCACTTTAGACCAGTTAATCATAATACTGTTCCTGCTGTAATTTATGTGCTTAACAGTTTGTTGACATGGGTTTTTTTTGGACATTTTAAATGAACCTGGGCAAGGTCACAGTGCTGTAGGCGTCCTCCTCCCATACTGTGCTTCTGGCTTGAAACTGTAGTAGGTATCCTGCGTTATATAGAATCCCACAGGGAGCTGGATCCAAGACAGCTTCATCAGAAGTCCCCCGAGCCACGTGCTGGCCAGTGATTTGCAGTGTGCCATGTTAGCAAAGAGATCCTTGATAGAAGAACAGCTTGTAGCGATGGTCACTCATCTCCATCTGTCCTTTCAGATGTGATTTTGAAGACACTGCTCAGTACCGGGCCTCTGCGATGAACGTTAAAGGAGAGCTTTCAGCATATGCTTCAGTCGTGGTAAAGAGTAGGTTTGCTGCACTTGTTTTATTCAAAGTGTATTTTTAAAAATTTATTCTCATTGATAAAAAATAAATCAGGCAGCAGTTCACATGCATTTCTGCTTTCTTTTCTAGGATATAAGGGAGAGTTTGATGAGACTCGCTTCCATGCTGGGGTTTCCACCCTGCCCCTCAGCTGTAAGTTTAAAAATATATTTGCTAAGTGTCATCTCTATTTAAAATACAGCAGAATAAGCCATTCTATAATGCTGAAATAAAAGAGAGGATTATTATAATATATGGTAGTATGTATATAATAGCTATCTATGCTGGGTTTTATTTTTTAGATTCTTGGTTACTATTCTCCTTCTGAATGTAACTGCTTCGTTCTGGTTTTATAAAAGCCCAGATATTATGGGCTAAAACTGGCAAGTGTTTTTAAGTCTTTCTGTATTAAACTGAAAAAGATCATTACACAAACCTGGGCAGAGAGATTTAATCATGCTCACCGCCCCCCGCCACAAGTCTGTCCTGTATCAGAGCATCCACGTCAGCATCACCTCCTGGAGAAATTCATGTCTGACTCCCACTGCCACCCACAAGTCGACCCAGTCAGGGTTAGGTGTCCCCAGGAGACCGCAGCACCTCCACCACAGCATCCATCACGCTGGACACTGTTAACTGTTGTGTCTTTCTCTCACCGAGCTCCAAGCCACTTGAAGGCAAAGCTGGACCTTTTATCTCTAAACCCCAACTCCTGACACAGAATAGGTATTTGATAATGAATGAATAAATAAATACACTAATTTATGAAGTGCAATTTAAAATGAAATCTAAGGGCTCCTGGGTGACTCAGTCGGTTAAGCATCCGACTCTTGATTTCGGTTCAGGTCATAGTCTCAGGGTCGTGACATCAAACCCCGTGTTGGACTCCACACTGGGCATGGAGCCTGCTTAAGATTCTCTCTCTCCCTCTTCCTGTCCTCATCTCCCTCTCTGAAAATAAATAAATAAATAAAATATCTAAATTTTCTTTAATAACAAACTATTAAAAATATTCTGATCTGTGGTAATTTGTGAACTTCAATCATTTCACCTATATCAGAACATCTTTTCATAGGAACCAATAAAAGTAAAACCCTTATGGTTGTTCAGATAATTTGATGCTTATGGTGATCAGACTGAAAAAGGTAGTCAAGCCTGAACTTATTTTCTGAACATTAAAAATAAGTGATAGTTTTGAAAATGCTTGAGGAAGATACTTTCTCATGGGTCAGTTTTTCACCTAACTGGTTAGTTTGATGTCCGTAGATGACCTGTTCCATCAATTTTGTGGGATGGCTCCTAATTTTAATATTCCAAGTTTTAATCTTTAGTATCAATCCCATGAGTGGGTGGGAGGGAATGATCGGTAGGAGTAAGGGAGGAACACACCCCAAATCGTGTTTTTCTCCCATCATTTGACTCATACTGAGATAGAATAGTTGAACATTTTGAAACTATGACTTATCTCCCATTGTCCCTAAGACAGGTTTATTTTTTTTTTATTTTTTTTTATTTAAGATTTTTTTTTTTTTTATTTGAGAGAGAGAGAGAACGAGAGATAGAAAGCACGAGAGGGAAGAGGGTCAGAGGGAGAAGCAGACTCCCTGCTGAGCAGGAAGCCCGATGTGGGACTCGATCCCGGGACTCCAGGATCATGACCTGAGCCGAAGGCAGTCGCTTAACCAACTGAGCCACCCAGGCGCCCCTAAGACAGGTTTATTAATCATTTATTTCACAATCATCTGAATGTATCCTGCTCATTCCCACTGCCGTATCAGCATCCATATTTCTCCCATTTCTCTCTTCTCCATCAAACTAGGGTCTAAAAGCCCAGCTCACCCTTACTTCTCTAACTTCTTGATCTTTCAAATTCTCCTCTGACTGGTCCCTGAATTGAGTGCAGTTGTTCCCCACATAGAAAACAGAGGACTTTTTTCATTTATTCAACTAATATTTATTGAACATCTACTATGTGCTGGGTACTGGTTTAGGTGCTTGGAATATGCTGATAAATATAGATAAAGCTTCCTGCCCGTGGTTCTGTTCTGATAGTTAATATATATTGATCAGTTGTACCAGACAGCATACTAAGACATTTTGTTATATGCAATGATCATTTAATGCTCTACCAAAGCTTATAAAATAGGTATCTTTTATCTGTGCTATGCAGATGAGTAAATAGTTTTAGAGAGGTTAAATCATGAGACAAAACCACACATAATGGTAGAGTAGGGACTTAAAAGTTGGTCTTTCTAACTCTAAACCATATTCTATTTTTTTTTTTTTTGGTGGGGTGGGGGAGTAGAGGAAGAGGGAGAGAGAGAATCTTTTTTTTTAAAGATTTTATTTATTTATTTGAGAGAGAGAGCACATGAGAGGGGGGAGGGTCAGAGGGAGAAGTAGACTCCCTGCCGAGCAGGGATCCCAATGCAGGACTCGATCCAGGGACTCCAGGATCATGACCTGAGCTGAAGACAGTCGCTTAACCAACTGAGCCACCCAGGTGCCCAAGAGAGAGAATCTTAAGCAGGCTCCACGCCCAGCACAAGCCGAGGCAGGGCTTGATCTCATGACCCCAAGACCGTGACCTGAGCCAAAATCAAGAGTCAGATGCTTAACTGACTGAGCCACCCAGGTGTCCCTCTAAACCATATTCTAAGACAGGAGTTGGCATTTTCTGCAAAGGACTCCTGTAATTATAATTTGTAAACTAACTGTAATTTGTAAATTGTAAATACATTAGGATTATAAATACTTTAGACTTTGTGGGCCCTATGGTCTTTGTCACAACTACTCAATGCCACCATTGCAACACAAATTTACCATAGGGCGCCTGGGTGGCTCAGTTGGTTAAGCGACTGCCTTTGGCTCAGGTCATGATCCTGGAGTCCCGGGATCGAGTCCCACATCGGGCTCCCTGCTCAGCAGGAAGTCTGCTTCTCCCTCTAACCCTCTTCCCTCTCATGCTCTCTCTCATTCTCTCTCTCTCTCAAATAAGTAAATAAAAAATCTTAAAAAAAAAAAAGTCACCATAGACAGTAGGTAAATAAATGAGCATGGCTGTGTTCCAATAAAACCTTATTTATGAACATTGAAATTTGAATTTCCTATGACTTTGCCTGTGTCACAAAATAGTCTTCTTCTTTTGATTCTATCTCAACCATTAAAAAATTGAAAAATTATTTCTAATGGTACAAAGCAGGAGGCAGTCCAGATCCGGCTGACAGATTTGCCAAACCCCGACCTAACCCTTATTATTTTGTAACTCTTATCTCTACTCCCTAAGGCAGCTTTGGAGCCAGCCCGGCTTCCCAAACAGCAAGGTCTGATTGAATTGTTTCCCTTTCGATCTTAGTGGGACATCATCCTATAGAAGTGGGGCAGATGGAACCTGTGCTTCAAAGAGGTGTTGTTTCACTCTTGGTTAGTGGTTGCCAGAGGACACACAGATTCAAGGCGATATTATGGATTGCTGGAGAGCGCAGCTTCTGGAAACAGCCTGCCAGTGTCAATCCTGGCTCTACAGGGTCATTGTGGGCAGTTAATTTGGCCTCCCTATGCTTCTGTTTCCTCATCTATAAAACAGAGAGATGATAATGGAACTTACCCGAGAGAGCTATTATGAGGTTTGAGTTAATAGATATTTAACACTGGGAACAATACTTGGCACAAGTTGAACTCAGTAGATTTTAGCTTGCATTTTCAAACTAATTCTAAGAGGTGTTAGGAGGAGAAATAAAATATGAGAGACAGGGCCTAAATTTTAGAGTCAGGCAGCTATGGATTTGAATTTCAATTTCACACATAATACCTTTGAAACCTGGACATTAGCTGTATCTTATTTTTGTGAACTTCTCCATTCTCATCTGAAAGAGAAGGAAAAACATATCTGTGCCATGGGGGTTTTGTAAGGATTAGACGACCTGTCAAATTCAAGTATGTGGCATGGTAACCCGTTAACGGAGTCATTATTTTCCCAAGCTCTTTCCCTTGAGAAAAGAGAAAATAAAACCTGGGAGGGTTTATGATGCAGGTATTTACTCAATCTGTAAGTAAGATATTTCTAAGAAAAATATTTTTTAAAGTCACAATATTATAAACTTTTCAGTTTGAAATTTCTTATTTTTTTCTCACTCAGATCATTAAAGACACTGAAGCAATAAATTTCTTTTTTTTAAAGATTTTATTTATTTATTCATGAGAGACAGAGAGAGAGAGAGAGAGAGAAGCAGAGGGAGAAGCAGGCTCCCGAGGAGCAGGGAGCCCGATGTGGGACTTGATCCCAGAACCCTGGGATCATGACCTGAGCCGAAGGCAGACGCTTAACCATCTGAGCCACCCAGGCGCCCTGAAGCAATAAATTTCTCCAATAAGTTGGAAAACTATTTTTATACTCTGAGGGATTGATCTGGCTGTTTGTCTGGAGAGTACAGCAGTTGAGTTTTAAATGAACTAGGAATCTAAAAAGTGCATATATTGTGCTAAGTATTTGAGCTAAATGTGGTATTCATTTACGTGCTATGTGAGGTATTAAGCCTGCCCCTTAAAATTCTAGTCATTGCAATTATAAAAATAAATATTGAGCTTATCTGACCAATGAAGCAAGAATTTCCATTTCACATCATAATATATGGGAATGTGCTTTGTACTTCTTTATAAGACTTAATTTTTGCCCAGAGAGTTCATTTGATCAATGTTTGTTGTGACTGCTTATTAAAATGCTAGTGTCTCTTTGATAAAAAAAAAAAAACAAATTGCTGATGTTTGTTTTTGTTGTACCCAGTTGGCGTGACACCTTATGGTTATGCATCCAAGTTTGAGATCCACTTTGATGACAAATTTGATGTGTCTTTTGGAAGAGAGGGAGAGACAATGAGTCTAGGCTGCCGTGTAGTTATCACTCCTGAAATTAAGCATTTCCAGCCAGAGATCCAGTGGTACCGAAATGGTGAGCCTTTATGATGAATTCTCACTTTGGTTCTTATTCACAGAAGGTGGCAGACGGGGCTTGACACCCGAGCACGAGCTTCCATAAGACCACAGACCTGTTTATCAGAACTGGCAGAATCTGGACATTAGAAGGCATACCCACTGGATGTTGAAAGAGTTTTTATACATATATCAAAGTAGCAGAACTTTGATAATATATTTGTGGAGGTTATAATTTCTTATCACCAAGTAATCTGTGGAAAGCATTACAAAAATGCATTTTTATAAATTACTTATCTATCCATTTTATAAGTTAATTTTATTTAGTAAAATTAAGGGAAGTCCACGGAAGTCCAGTGGGACTATGGAGCATGGCCACTGACCCCTCGACATGGTGGGCAGAAAGCAGCATGCTCACCAAGCAGTTGGCCTGAACTTCAATTGTGCACACAGGTACCTGGGGCAGTCTGGAACATCTGGGTCGAGACCGAAGCCAATAATGGCAAAAGCACTGGGATGGCGAACATGGCCCTAGGGAAGGGAAGGGGCTCCAAGTGGGGGGCAGCATGGGAACTGTAGGTTCCTACTAAACCTACAGTCGGAACAGAGTCGGAGCTTGCCAGCCCAGCCCTCCTTCCCCAGAGCTCATTTCTGTGGCATCTGCACAAATACTAACTTATTGACCTGAGCATCCAGACAGGAACTACCAGCAACCAGGCAGTAAACTTTGTCAGTAAAATACTACAAAATAAAATCACGTGTATAGACATTGAAGTAAAGCATATGAAGCAGTTGTTGGAATTCTTCAAAGAGTTGAGAATCCCTGGTACTGAAAACTGCTATAACAAGGCACAGCAAATATTCAGAGGCTTAGAAATGTAAATTAAGCTTAAAGATTGTCGCATTCAATGAAAAAGAACACTTTTTTCATATGAAACTGTGGATGAAGCAATTATTAATAAGGAAGATAATCTTAAAATTATTTTTTCCTTGTAATTAAAGATACAGTGAATAGAATGCATAAACAGACATTTGGATTATATACAAATCATTTTCAGTTTCTTGTATAACATCCACAAGTTATAGAACATGATAGAGAAAATATCAAAATATTATTATGTAAAATTACATTTAAAATTAAATTCAGACTTATGTGAAACTGATCTATATGAAATCAAATTTTTTTAGAAATTTTGTTCCTTAAGAATCATTAGCTCTAGAGTACTAAAATTTATATTTTGAAATAATTTATCAGAAAATTAACCCAATGTTAACTTTATAAGAATTTATCTATATAATGCTGTATAGTATAAAACTATATGATATTTTTAGTATGCAATTTCTTAACAGCTGCAGTAATAGTTGCATCAGCAGAAAGATCCTTCTCAAAATTTAAAGATTATCAACTCATTTCTGATCTTGCATTTGTAAAGAGTGACTGATGTTACTTTTTTTTAAAGATTTATTTATTTATTTGGTGGGGGTGGGGGGATGAGGGAGTAAGGGGGGAGGGGCAGAAGGGGAGGGAAAGGGACAAGTAGACTCCACCTGAGTACAGACCCAATTGTGGGGCTCAATTTCATGACTCTGAGATCATGACCTGAGCAGAAATCAAGAGTTGGCCACTGAACTGACTGAGCCATCCAGGTGCCCCTCAATTATATTGACTTAAAAGGAAGTTGCCAAAAGTATAAATCTGATGACCTAATAACTGAATTTGCAGAAAAGCAAGCCTGAAATATCTTATTATCAATCAAGGTATTACATTAATAAAAAATTATTTTTGTATATAAAATTATGGCATGAAAATATTTTTTTGCAATTTGTGTTACCCTAATTATATTTTATATATAGTAAAATATTTTTAGAGGAAAAAGCCTTATATTTTAGTACCTGTAACTGTATTTTTTTCTTTGCTTTTTGAACAGGGGCTTTGCAATTTCATTTTGCACTGGACCCTGCAGATTATATATTTGGCCCTGGTCCCTTCACTTCTGATACAGCATTTTTTATCAATATAAGCATGGCAGAATGGCTCAAAGCCCTAGAGACTTCTACTAACAGTCAAATAGCTTTCAATATAGAAGAAGAAGCAGAGAGAGAGAGAGGGAGGGATGGAAAAAGAAGGGAGCAATGGGGGGAAACTGAGTTAATTTTCTTACATTTTAAAAAAATTTCCAGGAGCACCTGTTTCTTCATCCAAATGGGTTCAAACACTTTGGAGCGGAGATCGAGCAACACTGACATTTTCTCATCTCAACAAAGAAGATGAAGGCCTTTACACAATCCGTGTACGAATGGGAGAATATTATGAACAATATAGTGCTTATGTCTTTGTTCGAGGTAAGACCCAGCAAAAAGCAGAACACCCAAGAATGTTTAAAACACTGAGGCCAAATCAATCTATCCAGACAGGTTTTTTGTAATGATGAAAGGTCCATTTGAAAATTCTTCCAAAATACATGGCATAGAGTTATTAACTTCCAGTAAAATTAGACCCAGTATAAAAAGGTTAACCCTGAGGCACCAACCCAAAGCTAACTAGCTTCCGGACTGTGTTACTATCACTAATGTCAGGACTTTCTTTATCTTCAGTGAGTCACCAGGGCAGCTCTCTGTAGATGTTCGAGGAGAGATGCTACATCCCAACAATATGAAAAGCCATTTCAGTTTATGGAAGCTACAATAAAAGAGTGATGTGCTACAGGGAATTTACTCTTTAATATCTATTTCATGGAGCAAATTCATTATTTCACTCCAGACACCTTCTTTATAGTTTCAGCTTTAATGAACTAGGAAACAAGGTGCTACAACTTAATCCTTAAGGCAAACTGTGTGATTTTAGGAGTCTTTCTTTCTTCGCCTGTGGATTGGCTGTCTGCAAGTGGGGATGTTATTTCTACATGGGATCCCAGCGCATTTGGAAGACCACTGACACAGTCTTCAGGGTCAGTGTTCTGTGTTCTCTTCTGTGATGTTAGTCAGGTGTCCACAAGAGGAGACACAGGAGAGGCTCAGGAAAACTAAGTTTATTACACTCACAGGTTTTAGCACACCACAAAGGGCCACCTGGGGAAACATGAGCATAGGTTGGGTTGGTCAGGAGGCATAAGGGGCCAGAGGGAGGGGAGAGCTTAGGCCATGGCTGTTATTGGAGTTTCTATGGGAAAGGCAAGGCAGGGCAGGATTAACAGTTTAGGACTGGCTAGTTTGAATCATTTTGGTACACTCTAAACTATAGGCGTGGTCCCTAGTGGCCTGCTACCTGGCCCTGGGATGATTAAGGCAGGGGAATATGGCCTCCTGGGGTGCACAAGCCAGATAGAGGAGGCATGGCTCTGGATTGGTCAGTTTTGCATATCAAAGGCATGCTCCTGGCTGAGCCCTTGCTATCTCTAAGAATTGGCTAGCCCTGGGAGGGGCAGTGTCTCCCCAATCAGAAAGGTTTTTAAGGTGTCAAACCATCATAATATATAGACAACTAAAATATAAACAATATAGGAGACTTACTAATTTTTTTAAATCTCTCATGTCCTAAATAGAATCATAAACTCATAGGAAATTTTATCAAAATGGAACTTTAGAGGTCAGATGTCCTTAACTGGGATCCACAGACTCCCAAGGGGTCTATATATTATATACTATAATATAATATATTATATTTCAATATATTTAGTTTCTTTGGTAATCTCATGTATTTTATTTTATGCATTTGAAAGCATTATTCCGAGAAGGGGCCTCTAGACTTTCTTTGTTAGTCTGCCAAAGGAGTCTATCGTATGAAAAAGTTAGGATTCCCATTCTAGTCTAATCCTTTAATTTTAAGTTGCAGAAGCTGAGGTTCAGAAAAATAAAGTGATTTACCAAAGCCTCACAGTTAGTTAAAAGCAGAAGTGGACCTAGGATACAGATCTTCTGATGCCTAACCCAGGATTTTATAAATTTTTTTAAAGATTTATTTATTTATTTGAGAGAGTGAGAATGAGAGAGAGAGAGTACATGAGAGGGGGGAGGGTCAGAGGGAGAAGCAGACTCCTTTGCTGAGCAGGGAGCCCGATGTGGGACTCGATCCCGGGACTCCGGGATCATGACCTGAGCCGAAGGCAGTCGCCCAACCAACTGAGCCACCCAGGCACCCTAACCCAGGATTTTAATTAGGATATAAGCTAAGCTGATGAAACAAAAAAGCTTATTTCTCTCCCATGTCTATCAATTCAGAAATAGGGATGTGGTTCAGAGTCCCAGGTTCCATCTACATCGTTATTCCATTGTCCCCATGGTGCCATGTCATGTTCCCATCCCAGCCTATGGGAAGAGGAGAGAAAGGACATGCAGGGGGAGATGCAGAGTTGCACACATCACTTCTGCATGGTGAACACTTAGCCAACACACACATCTCACAGTGAGGGAAGCTAGGGCATCATGTGTCCAGTCGGGTGGCCATGTTGCCTGCTGAAGCTGGCGCTTCTAGTACTAAAAGGAAACAAACAAACAAAAAAATGGATCCTGGGAATGGTTAGCAGCCTACATACACCTGCAGTCAAAAATAATGATTGTGGAATTCTGTCCTGGATCAACAACTGATAAAAATACATGAATATCTACATCATCTGAAAATGTGTCAGACTTTCTCCTACACAAAAGCCTGGTGGGAAAAGTCAGCTATCGCTGAGGGAAGAAAGATGCTAGCCTCTGGATAAATCACTGTGAAGATGGACACACTGAAACTCCTCAGCAAGTAAGTTTGTGTAGACAAACCACCTGGATGAACCTGGCTAGATAAGGACTGAAAAAGCAAAGTGTTTGCCTCTGCTCTCAGTTGTCTTACCTAAACCAGACGGTGTCTCTGGCGACTCAAGAAAAAAACCTTAGTTATTTAGACCTTGGCAGTTCTTCTGTGCCTTTGTCTGGGAACTCTGACATAGTCTAGGGTTTTCTCAGTAACATTTCTCAGTGCCTGTATCCAGAATTGTGGCTCTCTGCCAGATTTAGGCCAGGCTTCACATTACTGACTATAGAAAGGGAGAAGGCATTGAAATTTGAAATTTATACTTAAGCTAGTTTTCAAATCCACAAAAGAAGGAAATGGAAAGATTCTAAAATTTATCAGATGTTGGTGTGAGAGAATTGAGAAGATAAATGGGAGAGACAGAATTGGGAAGATAAATTTCAGTAATTGCTTTGTGAACTTAAGAACTTTTAGAAAATATTTCACTTATAAGTTTATTTTGAATGATGTGTTTTAGATTCTTTTTTAAAAAAAAGCCTTTGTTGAGGTGTACTTGATAAACTGCAAGATTCACCTATGTTGAGTGGACAGTGCTTTCAGAATATTTACAGAGTGTGCAGCCATCACCTACCATCCAGTTTAAGAACATTTCCATCACCCCAAAGGGATTTCTTTGCCCATTCCCCACTGTCATCCCCAGACCAGCCCGTAGGCAACCACTAACCTACATTCTCTCTGTTGGCCTTCTCTGGACATTTCTGGATATAGTATTTGGACTTTTACATCTATCTTCTTTCATTAAAACATATGTTTTGAGGTTCATTTATGTTATAACACATATTAGCAGTTCGTTCCTTTTTATTGCTAAGTAGTATGTCGATGTATGGAAATACCTCATTTTGTCCATCCATTCACCATTTGGGACAGTTGGATTGTTTCCACTCTTTGGCTATGATGAATACTGTTTCTATGAACATTTGTGTCCGTATTCATGGGTATGTTTTTATTTCTCTTGGGTAGAGACCTACGAGTGGAATTGCTGGGCTATATGCTAAATTTATGTTTAACTTTTTAAGAAATTGCCAACATGTTGGTTTTTTGGTAAAGATTTTATTTTTAAGTAATCTCTACACCCAACATGGGGCTCGAACTTGCAATCCCCAGATCAAGAGTCACGTGCTCCAACACCTCAGCCAGCCAGGCATCCCAAGAAATTACCAGCATGTTTTAAATGACACTTCGTGTGTTTTTAAAACTCTGTATATATTGAACTGCATAGGCCATTTCATTGCATTTTTAGAGTGCTGATATTTTTGCTGCTTAGAAAATAGCTTCTGAACCAGAACGATCAGTGTATAAAGCACCATATGTCTGCAGAAACACATTCCAGAGCTGCACATATTTGGCCAGGATTTAATTACATAGATAGTGTGTGTTCTTTGTGAAAAAAATAGATCATATAAATAAAGCAAAAAACAAAAAAGGAAAGAAAGAAGAAGAAAAGCTATTCCAATGTTACTATTTTATTACATATTCTTCTAGAATTCTATATTTTATATATTCTTCCCTCCCCTATCCTCTCCACCACATAGAGGGAGAGAGATGATAAAGTGGCAAAGGATGGAATAGAAATGTCTTGAAAAAACAATTACAAATGACAAATAAATATATGAAAAAATTCCGCTAGTAATCAAAGAAATGAAAATTGAAATGATGTAACATTTTAATCTATCATATTGCAAGGATTTAAAGGATTTTTAAAATCCACTGGGATAGAAGGATGGTGGGAATAGCACATCTGTACACTGCTGATGAGTGTTAATTGTTTCAACATTTCTCAGGATGTTTTACTACTATGTATCAATAGTGCACATTTCCAACAATTCCAGTTCTAGGAACTTAAGTGGGCAAAGGTGAGAAAAATGTTTGTATTGGGAAAAACTAGAAGAAATCTAGACATCCATCCATGGGAATTATAGGATAAAGTATAATAAATGCCCCATGTAAACAACAGAATAACACACAACAATGAAAACAAATGATGTGTATCTGTATTTATTGATATGGAAATATATTAACATGAAACTGCATAGTCCAGTCCCATTTTTATTTCAAAAACAATCATTTTTGAGTTCATAAATATAGGAAAAAATCTAGAAGCATCTGGGCCAATATGTTAGTAGTAGTTATCTCTGAATTATGGAATTAAAGGGGATTTAAACATATATTTTTTGATTATCGTATATTTTACAAGCAGGCACTGCTTTTATACTAAAGATAATAGTTACATTTTGAAAAAAAGTTATAATTAGCTTATGTCAGAAATCAAGATATAAAGAGTAGCAGGCTAATCTTTCCCCTAATTAATCAAATGTACGAAAACTGGCATTTTGGAGGGTTGGGAGAAAGGAGGGCACAGGCTAGGAAGAGGGTTGCCACGGATCGAGTGGGCGCTGCGGTCAAGCAGCCTGGAGCAGCTGCTGAGAGCCATGAGCACAGATGTGTCTCAACAGAACACGGTATTTGGATTTGGCTTCCAGCAGCTCCTACACAGAACCTGTTTTTAGAAAGACTGTTAAGCCCACCCGAAGAATGGCACGGTCCAGGCCATGTTATAAATATGCTGAAAAATGGCTCCCTGGACGCCTACTGTCTGCCGGGCTCTGTTATATACAGTGGATATTCAGCAAGCTAAACCGGGGATTCCTGGTTGTTACATCATGGGCCGTTAGCAAAAGGACATGGGTGAAGGTTGCCACATGTCCCCTCCCAACTGAGCGGCTTTCCAACATCCCTCTTCTGCCACTTAGGCCTGTTAACCTCAGCATCTCAACCCCTTTCTAGCTCTGCTCTAACTTCACCGTCAGCAGACTCGCCCCCCAATCCAGTCCTTTAAAACCTGAAAGCAAAGAAGTTTCTCCCCACCAAAATGCTTTCTTTTAGGAGCCATGATTTAGTTATGTTCTAGTAGAGCACTTATGCCAGAGAAGTTGCCTAAAACACTTTCCTGCAGGTTTTTGGGGGGCAAGAAACAGAATATTCAAAACCAAAGTGACTTGAGCTCTTCACAGGCAATGCAAACCTATCAAATTCAGAAGTGCACAAATATTTCTGCCTTATTTGCAAATGGTTTAGTAATTCATGAGTTACAGAAGTATAGCTCGTTGTAAAAGAAAAGTGTTTGTTCAGTCAACAGAAGTGTTTTCCTTGAGTTGAGTGGCTCTGACACGTCTCAGCCTCCTGTCCGGTTAACTCTGGTTATGAAGTGGTGGTCCACAGGTCAGGAGGAATTGGCACTGTGGACCCCACCTCCAGGAACCCTGCCTCCCACTTAAAAGGCTATTGACATTATTTTCATTCTCTTTGCTCTCCTCCTGAAAACATCCCTGGTTCACTAATTTAGCTGTGCCTGAAGACACTGCTGAGGAGACGCACTATCAGAGGATCTCATTTCATAAATAATAACCGCCCTCTCCTTCTTGTATAATCCTGGACTTCTACTAAACTTGGATAAACAATGCTCAGATGTGGATATTGCATCAGAGTTCCTTTTGCAAGTATCCTCAGTCTGGGAACAAACATTTGATTAAAGTGAATGTTTTCCTTTCTCTTCCAAAGTGGGAGTGCCCAGCAGAGGGATGGGCGAAGCTTCGTGGTTTGTATTCTCTTGTGATGCATCCACAAGGTGACAGAGGGGGCTGTGTGTTCCCCTTCGGAGTAGTTCGTATTTCTGAGTAACACTGCACACTAGATATCTTAAGAACAGATTTTCTGGCTCAGCTTCCCTTAGACTTTTCTGATAGCGATTCCTGACATCTCCATGTTTGTTTTCCTTCATTTTTTATTTTTTTAGAAGATTTTATTCATATTTGACAGAGAGAGAGAGAGCACAAGCAGGGGGAGCTGCAGAGGGAGAGGGAGAAGCAGGCTCCCCGCTGAGCAGGGAGCCCGACATGGGACTCAATCCCAGGACCCTTGGGATAGTGATCTGAGACGAAGGCAGACGCTTAACCGACTGAGCCACCCAGGCACCCCATATTTATTTTCCTTTAGAACATTTTGGGCAGGCGAAGGCCATGAGGCAAAGGTCATGAGTCCTTTTTATAGCCCTAACATAATGTTCTTTGTACTGATGATGAAAAGCACAGATTTTCATGTTGGTCAGCAAATTCTAAGATCAGAACTCGCTCTGCTTGGGCCAAAGATGCAGCCACTATGGATGTGGTAAGAAATGTGTGCACCAAGTCTGAGACTGCCAGACTCTGATGGATCTTGTCTGAGAGGCTTAAAGGGATCCTTCTGTATCTCCACAGACGCTGATCCAGAGATTGAAGGAGCTCCAGCCTCTGCCTTGGACGTGGTGTGCTTGGATGCCAACAAAGATTACATCATCGTCTCTTGGAAACAGCCAGCTGTGGATGGAGGGAGTCCTATTCTGGGATATTTTATTGATAAGTTAGTACTTAGTCTAGTTTCAGTTCAAGGGATTTGGCCATAGAGAGACATGCTTGATTTCTCCCACCATTTCTACGTGAAATATTCTCTTTTCTGGTCTCCTCTCCCTCTTTTTCTTTCTCTCTCTCTCTATGTCTGTCTGTCTGTCTCTCTCTCTCCCCCTCCCTCTCCCTCCCTCTGCCTCTCTCTCTCTCTCTCTCTCTCACACGCACACACACACCCATATCTATTGACCTAAATTCCAAAAATAATTTTTGAACTTGACTACCGATGCAAGTCACTAATTTGGCAAGAATGTTATGAATTTGTAGACTTTATAGAGGCCACTTTGGAAACAGCTGGTGTCCAATATATTTAATGTCCATAGCCCTAGTATGTCAGGAATTTTAAAATATTAAATAATTTAAAGAATAATACTTTAGAAATACTAACAAAATCTTACTTATTTCACAGGATGTGGTTTCAAGTTAAACAAAGATATAACAAATATCAATAGTATTAAATTATGTTCTTTCTACAAGTTTTTGCTATTTACATTCTCCAAAACTTAGAACCTCTGATATTTATAGTAACTGGGTCTTACACATTAATTATCCAGTGAGTTTGGACAATACATACAACAAATTTAGATTATCAACCTAAATACATTATTATCTGACTTAGTTTCTATTCAAATAGTTGCTCCAATTCTCTTTTCATTTTTCAGTAATAGAATCTAATTGTAGAAACCACTAAGGACATATAATCTGTGCCACTGTGGTACAACAGGTTTGTACCAAGGTATATTAAACCAAATACTTATGGTAATACGTAAATATATGCCCATTGGGCTCAATACCATCCAGAGAAATATTTGTAAGTCATATACTATTTAACCATATACTAAATACTTCCACATTACTTTGTCACTTAGTACTGATGAACTGTGAAGGTTTTGGTAGATTCTTTTTCATCCTTACAGACTGCTTTATTGTCTTTGGCAGATTTCCAAGGGATTTGCAAACTTAATCAGTGTTAAGACCAGGGACAATCCGAAGTACATTTTGCTTAGTCATAATAAAAATAACTATATTGCAGCTAATATTTATTAAACATTGCCTATGTGCACGGCACTGTTCTAAATACATCACATACGTTAACCATTAACCATAACCACCATTTGAAAGGTAGATACTCTTACTACAAGTAGGAAACAGTTGCTGGCCCAAAGCCACATGCTAGTGAGAAAACACTAAGTTGCCTAAATTTGCACAGGTAGTAAGTAGCAGGACTAGAATTCAAATATCAGCCTGGCCATATATTTGTGTTCTTTCTGCTCCAACATGCTGTAGACATCTCCAGAGCAGCTGCTTTCTGCCTTTCTTTCTGCCCACATGAGGGTTGGGAAGCACACTGTTTTATCACTGGATCACCGTGACAGCGTCTGCATAGGGAAAGAGGAAGAATCTCTGGAGACAGGGGCAGTTTGAAGAAATGCCCTAGGCCTCTCGGCTCCCTCCCAAACCCTACCCATAGCAGCTCCAGAATTTCTACAAAGACAAGATTTAAGGGTGGGAGTCAGGGATTGAAGCCATATTTCATAGCTCTTTACATAAGGTTGAGGAAATGTCTATTATCTATATCAAAGAATGGAAGGGTGAGGCTGAGGAAGCAGAGAAACCTCTTGCCCTGACCACATTTGCACTGCCGTTGGAACCCCCTCCCCCATGCAAATTATTTGGGAATTAGACATGGAGCCATGTTGGTGAAGTGACATAAACTAAAAGTTCAGCTCTGCTCATGAAAACTGATGAGTTACTTAATCCTAATGCTGTGTAATTTAATCACACGCTGAGAGCCACTAACCCCTTTCAATCAGGCCAATAGCATAATATGAACTGCCATCTTTGTCTCCCAGGATGTGACCACTCCATCCAGACACCAACTGCTGTAAAAGCACCTAGTTAGAAATCAGAGGTTCCAAGCACATAATCTCTCCCTGCCAGGCCTCAGAGTTTCCCTGCATCTCACCAGTCTCATCTGTTCAGAAGCACGTGTGTTACAATACTCTCCTCACCCTTCTGCCCACACAGAATGTAATGATCATCAAGCGGGCTCTTTCCAGGGGTGACTGGCTGGCTCAATCCTGGAGCATACAGCTCTTGATCTCAGGGTTGTGAGTTTGAGCCCCACATTGGATGTAGAGATTACTTAAGAAAAAAAAGCACGTTCTTTCCAAACAACAGTATAAATAGGTATATTTAAGGTATTAACTTTCTCAAACAGTAGTTTTATTTTTAAAAGAAAATGCATAAAGAAGACAAAGAAGTCACCAGTGGTAATTGAAGATGTCAGCCAGGAAGATGTTTGGGGGATCTCCCCCTCAGTCTCTCCAGTGTAAAGATTGTACATACCTACCCATTGCTGTGTCTGTTTTTTCCCCAAAGTTCTTCTGCTTAGCACACAAGGCCTCTCAGCTTTTAGAGAGTTTAAAGGGAGTATGCGTGTTTAGGAAGGATCTGAGGCATTTTTATTATTAAAGAATACACACTGCAGTTGAGTGAAACTAAGTGCATGCAGTTAAGTAACTATTGAACTACACTTGAGCTGGGTAGGTTATAGGGAGATCTGAAGCAATTGGGTGGGTTTGCAGCTTTGGAGCTATTAATTTAGTCATACTTGTTTTAATATTCTTTCTGACCACTCTCTTTCCCTCAGGTGTGAGGTGGGTACAGATAGCTGGTCTCAATGCAATGATACACCTGTGAAGTTTGCTCGTTTTCCAGTTACTGGGTTGATAGAAGGTCGTTCTTACATATTCCGAGTTCGAGCTGTGAATAAAAATGGAATAGGTCTACCATCTAGAGTTTCTGAGCCTGTGGCTGCTCTGGATCCAGCTGAGAAAGCTAGACTTAAAAGTAAGCATCTTTCAATTTTCAGGATCTTAAACCTTTTTTTTTTTTTCCCCGTAACTACACTAGATCTCATTGCAAGGTTATTCCTCCCCCTTCCACTAGAGGGAGAAGAGAATAGGAAATCCTTTATCTATCAGAAAATCCCAGGGGAAAAAAAACCAAAACCAAAACCAATTTGTTTTTAGACTTATGTCTTCACTAAGGGCTTTATTTTTTGTCTTATTTTTATTTGATTCAGAAGACTTTCCCTTGTTGAACTGAGTTCTGGGCATTCTGTTTGAAATATGATAAAAGTCTGGGAAGCATTTTTATTCATTTTATTAGCACACTCCAAATATACTTTTTTTTAATTCTTAAAATTATAAGGTAAATTTCTTAACCTAGAATTTGCCCCTTAGAGCATTAATACTCAACACAGTGAGTTTCTATATATCAAAGGAAAAACACATTTACAACATTATGTCTGTATACTTGAGTTACCATATTAGACAATCAAAAATAATCTTTTCATGTATTTAAACTCCAAGTCTCAATGTCAAAACCATGGTACTTGAATTATGCTCTGCATTTGTTTCGTGGGAACCCATATGCATCCTCAGTAATAGGGATCATAAAATGACATTAAAAGATTGTTAGAAATTAACACTTCAGACTATACCAGATTTTTCAAACTTGACCCTATGAAGACATTTTAGGCCAGGTAATTATTTGTCATAGGGGGCTGTCCTGTGCATTGTCGGATGCTAAGCAGCATTCCTGGCCTCTACTTACTAGATGCCAGTAATGCCCCTCCTCCTGCTGTGACAATCAAAATTGTTTCCCGGCATTACCAAATGTCCCTGAGGGGCAAAATCATCCTAGTTGAGAACTACTGGTCTATGTCATATTTGCAGTGTTATTCTTTACTTAGGTACATGTATGGCATCATAAAAAACTAAGTAAAATACCTTTTCTCTGGAGACTTTTTCCAGTCAAGCTCCTTGATTGCCCTCTGATTATTTTTCGCCTGCTATCTGACTTCCCTACCTCTTTCCTAATTCCAGTTCATATTTTCATTTACTCCTCTTTTATAAATTACAATGAAAGTAAGATTTGAGTTGAGAATAGGTTATCTTTCATATACTCTTTCTGGTTTTTTACAAGCTATGGTGAACATCTGTTGATAAAGCAGGAGTTGAACCATTCTCTCTTTCTATTACTTGTGGGAACACAGAAATGAATTTCCTCTTCAATGAATGAATGAATGAAATGAATTTAAATGGATTTTCTTCTTTTCCTGCCCATGTCACCCATTTTCCATACTCCAGATCTAAACTGGTTTCCTTTGTAGATAACACTTTTCAAAATATAATGGAAAGAAATTGCTTTCATTGAACAGTACTGTAGGATTAGCCTCTCCCCCTCCTCTTTTGGCTTCATTAATGCAGTTAAATAACTACTGGACTTGTAATTGTTCCAGAAACATTTCTGCCAAATACATGCTATCTCTTAAGAAGAGATGAGAGAACGTACATGTTTCCAGAGATCTGTATTGAACAGTAAATGAACATAGGTTATTTACCTTGCTTGTGAAAGTATAATTCCAGAAATATTGACTCCAAATAGGTGGGCTCTGTGCTCTGTAAGATTGTGGGTCCCTTGAAGACACAACACCATATATATGCTCAGTAAGATTCATTAGGAAAATATGTAAGTAAACTAGTATCAAACCAATTTGTGACTACTATGGCTAGTTTATGAGTGCAGTTGAAACCGCATTTATGAGTTTTATGATTTTTACATTTATCTCTGTTCAGGTCGCCCTTCAGCACCCTGGACTGGGCAGATCATTGTCACTGAAGAGGAACCTACAGGTAAAAGCTCAGTTTTCCCCAGATACTGTTGCCAGTGTTTTGCCGTGTGGTTTAGCCTTTATTATGGAGGGTACAGTGTATATTATTTAAGATGTTTTTGGAAAGAACATTCTGAAATATTTGGAGATCATAAAGTAGCTTATATTTTTAGAGAATCACAGTTTTTAAAAAGAAGGTTTATTGAGGTACAGTTGACATCGAGTAAACTGATACCTGTAAAATGTACAATTTGACAAATTCTCCATGTATATACACCTGTGAAACTGTCACCATGATCAAAATAATGAACATATCCATCACCCCTAAAATTTCCTCATGCCTCTTTGTAATTCCTTTCTCCTACCTCTGCCTATCTCCAGGCCTTCACTGATCTGCTTTCTGTCACTCTAGTTTGCATTTTCCACACTCTTAGATAAATGGTATCGTACTCATTTTTCTCTGGTTTTCTTCACTCAGCATAATTATTTTGAGATTTATTCATGTTGATATATGTATCAGTTCATTTCAATTTTTTTATTCACTTACTGTCAAAAGCCTCTAGAACATCCTTGTTAAGTTTTGTATGGACATATGCTTTTCATTTCTCTTGGATAAATACCTAGGAGTTGGACAGGTCATGTGGTAGGTGTATGTTTAATGGGTTTTTTTTTGGTGTATGTTTAATTTTTAAAAGAAACTACCAACTGTTTCCAAGATGTTTGTACCATTTTATATTCCCATCAGTAGTATATGAGTTCCAGTTGCTCCACATTGTCACCAGTAATGGTATTTCACAGTGGGAGCACGGTGGTTTTAATTTGCGTTTCCCTCATATTGTTGGACATCTTTTTATGTGTATATTGTCATTTTTGCCTCAAATTTGAATCTTTGCCAAATCAGGTAGATATTTACTTAGATATTTTTCCTGTTTTTTTCCTAGAAATGTTATAGCATTAGTGCTTAGATTTCAATCTATATGCTCCATTTCAAATTAATTATTTCTATATTGTGTGAAGTAAGCGTCTAAATTTTATTGTCATCATGATCATTTTGCATATGGCTATCCAATTATTTCAGCAGTCCGTTCAAAAGTTATCCTTTTTCCGTTGAATTGCCTTGGCACCATTGCCAAAATCAATTGGTTGTATATTTGTGGATCTATTTCTGGAATCTCTATTGGTCAATTTTATTTTCTCTATACCAACAACACTCTCTTGATTACTGTAGCTTTAGGTTATTGTTGTTGTTTTAAAGCTTCAGAGTCTAAAATAAATAAATAAATAAATAGATAAATAAATAAATAAAATTTTAAAAAAGCTTCATAATTTTGAAATTAGGTAATATTAGTCCTCTATTTCTCCCCCAAAGTCATTTTGGCTATTCTGCCTTTGCATTTCCACATAAATTATAAAATTAGCTTATTAATTTCTATAAAAACCCTACTGGGACTTCAACTGAGTGTTTTATATCCTATCTTCTTGTTCTATCAATTGATAAGAGTAGTGTTGAAATCTCTGACCAAATTTTTTCTTCTTGTAGTTCTACCATGTTTTGCTTCATATTGTTTGAGGCTTCATTATTACATGCATAAACATTTTAATTGTTATATCTTCTTATGAACTGACCACTTTGTTATTATAAAGCAACACTCTTTATCCATGGTAATGTTTTTTGCTCAGAAATCTACTTTGTCTGATACTAATATAATCATTCCAGGTTTTTTTTTAATTAGTGTTAGCATGTCATTTGCTTTCCATCCTTTTACTTGTGACCTACATGTGTCTTTATATTTAAATTGTATTTCTTGTAGGCAGCATATAGTTAGGTCTTGATTTTTCATACAGTTGGGTAATCTTTGCCTTTTTATTGGAGTGTTTGACCAATTTACGTTTTGTGTGATTATTGATATGGTTGGATTTAAATCTACCATCTTGCTATTTGTTTTCTACCAGTCTACCTGTTTGTTTCCCTTCTCCTTTTTTTCTACTTTCTTTTGGATTGAGTATTTTTTTTATTATTCCATTTTAGCTATGTTATCTTATCAGCTATAATTCTTTGTTTTGCATTATAGTAGTTTAGAATTTTAATATACATCTTCTCACAACCTCCTTCAAGTAAGATTATACTACTTCATGTATAATATAATAAGAAACCAGTGTTATTCCATTTCTCCTTTCAAGCCTTAGTGCTGTTATTTCATGGATTTTATTTGTGTATATATTACAAATTGCACAATACAATGTTATTATTTTAGTTCCAATAGTCACTTATCTTTCAAAGAAATTTAAAAGGAAGAAAAAACTTTTCAATATTCACTCACATTTTTATCACTTCTGTTGTTCTTCATTTCTTTGTGTAGATCTGGATTTCCATCTGATATCATTTTCTTAGTACCTGAAGCATTTCCTTTAATGTTTCTTGCAGTGCAGTCCTGCTGATTATGAATTATTTTATTTTTTGTATGTCTAAGACAGTCTGTATTTCATCTTCATTTTTGAAATAGATGTTCACCGGTTATAGAATTCCAGATTGACAGTTTTTCTTTCAGTACTTTAGAAAGGATGATCAGTTGTAGCGCATATCTGCACTATAAGAATGACTATTGTTATTCTTATTTTTGTCCCTCAGTATGTATCTTTTTCTCTCTGCCTGCTTTTAACAGGTTCTTTTTATCACTGGATTGAGAAATTTGTGATATGCATTTGTGTTGTTTCCTTCATGTGTCTTGAGCTTGGGGTGTACAAGTTCCTTGGATCTATGAGTTTACAATTTTCATCAGCTTTGGAAAATTCTTCACCATTGTTTTTTTAAACATTTTTTTCTGTATCCCCTCTCTCTGCTGTACTTCAGGAACTCCAATTACATGCCACTTGAAACCACAGATCACTGATGCTGTGTTCATTTTCCCTTTCAGTCTTTTTGCTTTCTGTGTTTCATTTCAGATACTTTCTGCCACTGTGTCATAATTTTACTATCCTTGTCTTCTTCAGTGTCTAACTTGCTGTGAATTCCAGTCAGTGTGTGGGTTTTGTTTTGTTTTGTTTTCATTTCAGACTTTGTAATTTCCATCTGTAGAAGTCGAGAACAATTCGTATTATTTTTATATTTTCCATGTCTTTATTTAACATGTTTAATCTTTACCTTCTTGAACATACGGAATATTTTTACTATAACTGTTTTTATATCCTTGTTGGCTAATTCTATAATCTGTGACATTTTTGGTTTTGTTTTCATTGATTGATTTTTCTCCTCAGAAAGGACTGTATTTTCTTGCTTCTTTGCATACTTAATAACCTTTCATGAAATGCCAGACATTTTGAATTTACATTGTTTGGTGCTGGATATTTTTGTATTTTTATAAATGCTCTTGAGCTTTGTTCTGGGGAAATGATTTGATCTTTCAAGGCTTGCTTTTGTTAAGTGAAATCAGAACAGACTTTAGTCTAGGGATAATTTGGCCATGCTACAGAGGAAATAGCCTTCTGAGTAGTACTCTACCAGATGCCTGTGAATTAGGAGATTTCCGCTTTGACTGGTGGGAATATGCACTCTCCCAGGCCCTATGAGGGTTTGAGGATTGTTCTCTCCAATTCCCTTGTGTGGGTTTTCTCCCTGCCTCAGGTGGTTTCCTCACATTGATGTGCTGATCAATATTCAGGTGAGCACTCTGGAGGGACCCTCTGAAAATCTCTGAAGCCTCCCTCTCCCTGCAGCCCTTTCCTCCAGTATTCATCCTTGTGACTCTATCTGTAGATACCTTGCCCTTCCTGGAATTCCAGCTTCTTCTCCTCCACCTGGGGAGACTGCCAGGCTTTACCTGGGTTTTTCTTCCTGAGCTGCTGTCTTGAAATTCTCTCCAGACAATAAGCCAGGACAATGGTAGAGCTCACCTAATTTGTTTCTCTTCTATCAGTAATCATTGTCCTAAGCCAGCTAATATCCAATGTCTGTAAATAGTTGTTTCATGTATTTTGCTTGGTATTTTAGTTATTTGATGTGGAAGGGTCAGGCTGATGTCAGGAACTGTGGGGATCTAAAATTTTACCCTACTTACAAGCTAATACGTTTCATACCACAGTTTCATAGATGCTCACAAAAGATGAGAGATTCCTGGGTGCCTGGGTGGCTCAGATGGTTAAGCGTCTGCCTTCGGCTCAGGTCATGATTCCGGAGTCCTGGGATCGAGTCCTGCATCGAGCTCCCTGCTCCTTGGGAGCCTGCTTCTCCCTCTGCCTCTCTCTCTCTCCCTCCCTCTCTCTGTCTCTCATGAATAAATAAATTAAAAAATCTTAAAAAAAAAAAAGATAAGAGATTCCTAGGGGGAGACAAAGGACTCTATTACCCACAGCACAATTAGACAGCATGAACTTCATGTTCTCATTACTTTCCTTTGCATTGTCCCCCTGCCAAGTTCCACAGCATGGTAGGGAGCAGCACAGATGGATGCTGTACACACAGTAGATATGTGTTACATCTGACTTGTACTTATAAAGGGGGCTGCTAACAAATCTACCCAAGCTTTCTCTGAAGAAGGACATTATCTTTACTATCCTGGTGAGAAACAAGTCAACTTTCTGCCCTAGAGAATATACTATCTTTATATTCCAAGTTTGTTTGCTATCCAAACATCCTTGAAAAGATATTCTATAAAAAGCTGATATAGGATGTACAGAAAGTATAACTTACGTCATTACTGTTTTTTGGGACCAGTAAGAAAATCAAAATTGCCAAGCAAAGAAAGTAAAATTGTGGCTTTGAATGAATGAATGAATGTTTTAGGAAGAATTTCAGAGATGAGGTACTTCTTTATACTGTGGAGCAGTAATTAACTCTTGCTCCAGTGGGAGAGAAACATCTATGACTCTTGGCATACGCTGGACTTCTCAGAGTGTGTGCTTTTCACTTTTCCTTGTTGTTTTTCAGAGGGTATTGTTCCCGGGCCCCCCACAGACCTCTCAGTCACAGAGGCTACCCGGAGCTATGTGGTGCTAAGTTGGAAGCCTCCTGGCCAGCGTGGCCATGAGGGCATTCTGTACTTTGTGGAAAAGGTAAGACTCTGGGATCGACATTATTACCTCAGGTCTCTTCCTAAAGATTTCTTTAAAGAAATAGAGATTAAATTTCCATTGTGTCCTGACCTCTTTAAACCCTTATAAACTATAAACAGTCCTCACCAAAATATGTATATCACACAGAACTTTGCCTGAAAGTTCAGGGGGTTTATGGATCCCTGGAGCTCACCCATAGACTTCTAAGAGGTCCACAGACGCCAGATTAAAACGCTTTTAAGCAGAGAAATGTTCCTGAAACTAGATTGTTCATATGGCACTGTTTTCTAGACACTTTCTCTGTTTTCCTTGCTCTACTAATGGCTTTTTGTCTCTCTACAACTTGTCTTCTGCAGTCAGAAATGAACATTGATGAGGGTAGATGAGCTAGAGGAATAAAAGTTACAGTACTTTCAGAATCCTGTCAAATAGTCGGAGAGTTAAAGAGAGAAAGTCCTTACATGCTGCCACACACTTGGCTAGTACTACTCAAGTGTAGATAGTAGGGTAGGGTCAGGAATTACAAACAGCATGAGATACCAACTAGTTCTTGCCCTCAAATATCTTACAGTTTTATTGTAATTATGTTAGAGAGGGCAGCATATAATGAAGGCCTAAAATGGGTGTGATGATGAGAATTATGTGTGGCTCCATCACATGCCTATATTTGAGGGCAGTTGTAGTAAGTATTTCTACCCAGAAAATGGAGAGGAGCCAAGACCTGGAAAGGATGTTATTTGGGGGAAGTGCCCAGTTGCAAGTGTAGACATATAGGAGGAACACCTGCTAGGTAAGGCATAATTGCTACAGGAAAAGGGCATTTCAAGAGAATTTGCTTAAAATGAGGTTCAAAATCCATTTGTTAAAGTTTTGATTAAGATGTAATTGAAAAAAAATGAAACAAAAGTAAGTTTATTTTATGTTATCTGTAAGAATGTTTACATTTCTATTGGCAGCCATGCACCATTTTATTTATTTATTTATTTTTAATGCACCATTTTTTTTTAAGAACAGTGAATGAAACAGTTGGCTGTACTCTTTTGTGTATTTTGTTTTTATAAAATTTTGTGATAACATGATAATTTATCATTTACATTTTACTTTCATAGCAAAATTATAGAAAAGGTCTTTATTTGGCAAAAATATTATGTAGCTTGGTTAGTTTTCCTGAGAGCTTTTCTCTTTCATCCTTAATGCTATTCTGATCATTCAATTTCAGAACACCTATTAGGTCACCTTCCCTGACAATTATTACAAGAGAATAGATATCATAGATTTATAGGTGTGTACAAAGATGCAAACATCTGCAAATTAGGTGACAACATAAAACCAAAGGCAACTATCTTTATGGCCTTTTAGTTATTTCAGATCATCAGAGAAAATTATACTAGCACTAAAACTGCTAGGATCTGTGGTTTTCCTATCTTAATTAATAAATTTATTAATTTATTTCCTTGATAAAGACATTTAGCTCCTGTCTTTGAGGAGCATGCCTCACTTCTCCTTATCCCTAGCAAATTGGTAACAATAAATGGATTATCTCTTTAACATGCAATATGGGCATCTTTCAAAAGAGTCTGATTTTACCAAAATAATATTACAAGTTTTTATTGGTATTAATTTGTGTATTTTCTAGATGTTAGCCTCAAATTAAATATAACTTGAGTAGCATTTCTGATTTAAAATTTTTTTAATTTTTTTTTTAATAGGGGGCAAGACTAGAATGGAAAATGTTTATTTCCTGGTGTGCTTAATTCATACCCTTCACTAAATCTTTTTGAAATGCTCCACAGGAAAAGAGTTCTGAATAAGCTCTGTGACAATAATTACCGTCTTTCCTACAGTAGTGACATAGTAACAACCTACCACTGAGGCATTTTCTTCAGATGAGTCAACTCTGGCTTCTGTTGAACATTTCCTCTGGTCACATAAACTCTAATTTCTCCGGGAAAATCTATCACTTCCCTAGACCTAAATGCATATGAGTCTGTGATTAAAAATTTAAGTGTTCTTCCACCAGCGAACCTATTAGTATGGAACAGAGGGAACATGTATGAGTGTACTCTGAGTAGAGAGGCCTCTACAGGCTCCGCTGACATATACAAAAGGCCCAGGATGTTGACATACTGGGGGAGGAGAACATGCCCAGAGACTAGGGCACATTTACAGAAGAACTCTCCAGACGTCAAACCATTCTACTCAGCTGAATCTCAGGTTATTTCTGATGAGCCTCTTCTAACATGCTGACCCTTCTAAAGGGCAGTGTTTCACATGCTTTTGTCCTGCAGCACGTTTTCATCCCCAGAATGATCATGCCTGTACGAATGCTGCTTCTTCAGTAACCCTTGAGCTTGAACTTCTTTACAGAACTTGTTACCAGAAATTGCACGCACATAAAGCACAAACTTGCCTGTCATGGCTACTGCGTACTCCCGGGTGGCCGTGTCTGTGAGCCCTGAAATGGCTGACATTTAATAGAGGGCATCATTGGGGCATAGAATTTGCACACAGTAAGAGACAGAGCTAGGATTTGAACCTGGGCAGTCTGGCTCAGTTTTCATATACTGTATCTAACTAGTACACATCATTGCATTTCAACCTTCCCAAGCCTGCCTTCTCTGGAAAACTTGGATAATCACACAGTGCTACCCCCACAATACTTACAGTTCAGAGCATAGTTGAGAGGATTAAAGAGTTACAATGGCATAAAGCTCTTAGCATAGTGAAAGGCAGCTATTATTTTTATTATGAAAGAACAAATGGTAATTGTTATATGTTCCCCGGTAGAGAATATGTCAAAATGAATCAAAGCCATAAACTAAAGGATTAAAGATCTGGGAGAATTTTATCCCTCAGTTAGCAGCAGATTGACTGTTTAGGGGGAATTTATCCTCTCCACCCTCCCACACACAATGACACAATCATGAAAGATTCTACAAAGGACTTTAGAGGTTACCTTGTCACATTTGCTTTTTTTTTTACAAATGATGAAACTGAGACCAAAGAATACTCACATGACTTTCCCAAGGTTACATATCTTGTTATTAACAAAGCTAGGACCACAGTGAATGCCTCTGGGTCCTTTGCACCATACCACATTGCCTTCCATTTCAGGTCAATGAAGATTATGTCAAGCGATATATCAGTATTCTTATAGTCCCAACAGCGTATCATCCTTGACAGCTGGTCACTGTATCACAAGGTTTGGATTTCTAGAAAAGTGTCTTGAAAATGTTCAGAAGTTCTGAAGCAAAATCACTTCTACTGACCTTGGGGCAGAATTGAGAGTTCAAATAGGCAGGATAAAGGATTACTGAAGACTAATCATAGTTTTCTCACTATATTCTCTACAAAGTGCAAATCGACACCACATCCTTTCAAGGATATCAGAGTCACTCTAGATCATTTTAGTTCTAAGAACAGGATTGCTTTAAATTTAGTTTTTCCCATCATTTATTCTAAAATATGGGGAAGAAAAAAAGAACCTCTTTAACTTTCATTAACTTCCTTCCTTCATTAATTCAGAATTCAAAAACCATTCATTCATTCAGAAAAAAACAATTGTTGATTATCTACTCTGTGCCAGATACAGTTCTAGGCTCTGGGGTATAGCAGTGAACAAGACAACTCCCTGAACTCATTTCATTGAAACTTGCTTTCCAATGGAGGAGATGACAAATAAATAACTTAATTTCAAATACAGTTAAGTGTTTTGAAAAAAATAAAGCAGGGTAAGGGATAGAAAGTAATGAGAAAGGAGCAAAGAACTCTTTTAGATTCTTTGATAGAATAGGGAGGGGGTGATCAAGAAGGCCTTTTTGAGGAAATGGTGTTTGAGTACAGACCTGAATGAGATTATGAGTCATTAAATAACACTCAATTAAAATAACAGTTTATAACAATGAAAATTTAAGTATTTTATATAGCATAGTAAATCTACTTACCTACCCTAAGAATTAGAAAAGTATCTGACCCCAAACTGTCTTCAAAATAAAGTCTTTTATAAGTAGATCGATGATCTTTAGTTAATAAGTTAGTGAAGTATTAAAATAGCATATTTGTCAAACAATCCGAAGCCATATTTGATTTTGATAATCCTCTGGACTATAGATGCTTCATCCCCAATTTCCTCCAAATCTCTTCTCCAGTTCAACTCAAAACAGGTAAGTAGTTGCTGACTGATAAATAAGACTGCTAGTTGCCTGGCTCAGAGTCCCCATCTATTCTTGCCCTCCTGTGAATGGGTCTCTCTTTTTGGGCTGCAGTGTGATGCAGGAACAGAAAACTGGCAGCGGGTGAACACAGAGCTCCCCGTGAAGTCTCCCCGCTTTGCTCTGTTCGACCTGGCTGAAGGGAAATCCTACCGTTTCCGCGTCCGCTGTTCTAACTCAGCAGGAATTGGTGAGCCCTCAGAGGCAACGGAAGTGACCGTGGTAGGGGACAAACTTGGTGAGTAAGGAGTTTGGTTGAACAACTGTAAACTGATTTTACTTCAGTTCAAGAAAAAATTCCAAAGCAAGAATCTCATTGGAATGTATCTATCCAGAAGTAAAAGTGGTGGCATCCTTCTTTCACATTATAAATGTAATTGACACCTATACCTGACTGATACGTTTTAAAAATTCATTATTATGAGTTATGAAGTTATGAAGAGTAAACTTCTCCAGGAGTTTCAACAGTATTGCTAATGTATTTTTTTTTTCTGGAGTATTTAGTGTATCATTATGCCCCCAAACTAACATATGTATTTTTTAATTTTCCGCTTTAACAAATTTAAATAATTGACTGTATGTTTGACATGATTACCTATATAAAATTTATATATGTGTGTGTTTGTTCATATGTGATAAGAATGCATTTTTTAAAACCACGCTGAGTTTGATCATCATTTTCCTCCTTTGTCAGATATCCCCAAGCCCCCAGGCAAAATCATCCCAAGCAGAAATACAGACACATCAGTGATAGTTTCATGGGAGGAATCCAAAGATGCTAAAGAGCTGGTCGGGTACTACATAGAGTCCAGTGTTGTTGGCTCTGGCAAGTGGGAGCCCTGCAACAACAACCCTGTGAAGGGTCCACGGTAACCACAATGTTGGGGCGGGGGATGCTATGGGGAGCCTTCTGACTCTAGAGCATGGAGGCTATGAAGAGGAAATGCACAGCAAATGAATGGTTGAGCACTACATCAAAAACTAATGATGTACTGTATGTTGGCTAACTGAACATAATAAAAAAATTAAAAATTTAAAAATTACTTTTTAATTTATAATAAAATTATGATCCTCCTCCCCCCAGCCACACAAAAAGAAAATGCAGCCATGGACCCATACAGCAGCACAAACATCCAATAGAGGGAGTTTGTTTGTTTTTTTAAAAACATTATACTTTAAATATCCAAATGAACTTAAAATTGAACATAATCTACTGCCATATATTTGGAAAAAAAGGTTTACTGGTGATCTTAAACACTTAGAAACACGTTAATGCCAGCTCTGATGAATTCATTTTATAGTATTTTCTGATTCTTTTCCTTCATGCTGTTTGTCCTTTTTACCCCTCTGTTCTGGTCTTTAATATTCAGTGTGATACCAGATTTCAAGGATCCAATAGATTCTAGCTAACATAAAGGACCCAGGCATTTTATTTATTTAATTAATTTTTTTAGAGAGGGGTGTGGTGGAAGGGCAGGGGGAGAGGGAGAGAGAGAATCTTAAGCAGGCTCCATCTCACAAAGATCATGACCTGAGCTGAAATCAAGAGTTGGACGCTTAACTGATTGAGCCACCTAGGCTCCCCTAGGCCTTTTAAGCAAATAGGAAAAAAGCATCAAGATTTTACAAATTCTGAACATGGTTAAACTCAGTGCTAAGGAGACATAAATAACACCAACAAAGGGATGTTCAGAATACTTTGCCACTTCTTTATATCTGTTTTTAATATGGAAAGGGTTATTTTTTTCTTGCTTTCAAATATTTTATCAACCAACTTTGCAGGTTGATGTTGAATTCTGACCTGCAACCAAACTCTGAGCCTCCTTTGATTTATGACCAATCTGGAGAATTCCATCCCTCCCCCCCAAAATTGTCAAACAGGCTTGTTAGGTTCTGGCATGGCCACGTCAAAGTCCAAAGACCCCCATAGGATGAATTGTTTCTTTTGCAGAACAGGAGAGATTAGAGGCAAATCAATGAATGGGAGAAAGCAAGAGATTCATTTAGCCCATTTGTTCATTTCACTTTTATTGTTAAGTTCCCAGCCTTTTCCTGGGACTATTTAGAAATATTTATAGAGGGTTAGGCCGGGTCTGCCTTTCCATAAACAGATAAGAGCTGCTCAAGGACAGGCACCATTTTTTTTATTTGTCTTTGTGTCCACAATACCTAGTTCAGTGTCTGGAACACTGAAGTGCTCAATAAATATTTGCCAAACTGAGCTGATCTGAAGGATTGGCCTAATTTATGACTGCCTTCATTAAATATTCCAACATTACTAATGGTAATAGAGTCATTAGCAGACCTGTTATTTCCTCTGGTTATAGTCTTCAGGATGGATTAAAATGTTACAGTGATTCATGAAACAGCTATTTATAGCCATAATAGCTATTAAGGAGTGAGGTTGTTTTATGTGTGAAACTGCCCATGGATTCACACCTCATTATTGGATCCTTACATCTAAATGGTAATCCATATTTCATCCTATTTTCAGATTCTAGTGTAATTTCTCAAGTAATTATACCTTCCCTGGCATGCAGGGAAGCAGTAACTAGACCTCTTTATAGAGGGGCAGCCAGTGCCTTACAGCCATAAGTATATACCTGAAATAGCCATTAACAGTGTTAATACCACCTATTATTTATTAAGTGCCTCTTATATGCCAGGCCCTGAAATAGGTACTTTAAATACTTTATGGCAAATCTTTACACAAAAATTATTATGGAGGCATTATTGTCCCCATTTTACTGATGCGCACACCAGAGGCTCGGAATAGTTAAGGTACTTATTCAGGGGAAAGCCAGGACTCCGCATTGTTTCATGGAGTGAGTTTAGAAAATTGCCTTAATTAGCTGCCTTCTTGTCTAAAGCACATTAATTGCCTGATCTCTGTACAGCAAATTGTTTTTATGAAGCCAGATCAGTCAGTTAGGCTAAAACCATCTTGTCTAATTTTCCCCCTAGGAAAAACTTTTAAAACATCCTTTCATTTTAGATTTACTTGCCATGGATTGGCAACTGGTCAGAGTTATATCTTCCGGGTCAGAGCAGTGAATGCAGCTGGACTTAGTGAATATTCCCAGGATTCAGAAGTGATTGAAGTAAAAGCTGCTATTGGTAAGTTCCTTATGCATAACTTGGTAGTTAAAAATGGATTTTTGTAAGTTACAAAGGAAGATACCATCCTCTCCAGAAATTGCCTAAAGCTTCTAGTATTGCTTGATGATTCCATCCTCAGATGATCATTTTCTCTGACTCCAGGTGACAGCTAACCTTCCATAGCCATCATTTTACAGATCTTCATCATTCATCAGATTCTGTGCATCCATAGCCTTGTCATCTTCACGAGTCTGAGTTTCCTCAGATATTTCCCACTGTGTGAAACTCCATTCTAACTTCGTGCTCGTCCTGGGAATGTGGAGGGCCATCCAGTTCCTTGAAGTGGTATATCACCCATAACAGATATTTTGTACCTAAAAGCCATTTCACCTGTGACAAAGCCTGGCTTATTTTCACTAACAAAACATTAACATGCTTTTTATAAACTCTAAATTTTGTGCGAGACACATGTGGTTGCTTAATCATATGCTACATCTCTGCTCTCAAAGTAACCAAAAGAATAAAACTGGTAACAAAGTAATTGTGTGTATGTATATGATGTGCCTCCCAATCTTAGATAAAGTAGGGAAGGGACCCAGGTAGTTCAAAGCACCAAAAATGAAGTCTGTGACAGAGTAACCCATATTTGAAGGGAAAGATTATTTCATACCAGTTATCTTCGGTTATCGTGCCGTATTATTTTTTAATATTCCTTATAATATGGACAATAGTGACCATGTTTTTTTGAGGTTGGGAGGTACAGGCCATTAATAGTTCAGTAATGTATGTAATTCTGTTATAAAATCAGGATCTTTAAATGTATGCCTTGTGTACTTTATGATCTTTTCCTCCCCTCATTCTGTTGAATAATAGGACTTATATCTTTCAAAAAATGTCGGAGATTTGCTTTTTTCTTATATATACTTGGGTTCTGCAAATCAAAACAGTTCCTGTTCTGTCTGTGGTTTTCTGTTCTCATTTCTTCTTTTCCCAGAATTTGGAGAAGTTGAACTGTTTCCTAGGTGTAAATTATGTGAAACATATGCTTTCCATATTTCTTGCTAATCTGAGTGGTTTCCATTAAACTAAGATTACTTTTGTTCTGCTTGTGGTCCTGTTTTTCCCTTTGTTCTATTAAGTAAGAGTAGTTTATGCTGTGTCTGGGCTTAAAGTGTTTCTGTTGTTATCTGGTGATTATAGGGGGAGGAGTGTCTTCAGATGTGTGGCCTGAAATGAATGATACACCTGGTGGACTAACAGACTCCAGGGGAGGCATGCATGAAGCCTCCCAGCCAACCTTAAAGAAAGATGCTTTGCTTGGTAGCAAACTTAACAAACCTTCACTACCCAGTAGCGCTCACAACCTGGGCCAAACAGAAGTGAGTAAAGTAAGTGAAACAGTTCAGGAAGAGCTTACCCCATTACCACGGAAGGCAGATGTTAAGGGGAAAAGTAAGTCTGACCCTCTGAAAAAGAAGAAGGACATAGGTGAGCGTCGAAAGAGTACAACTGTTCCATCTGTCTCCATCAGTGTCCTCACCTCATCGTCCAGGTCACATTCTTCCATCTGTGTTCACTTTCATCTATGTTTATTCTTCATTTGACATGTTTTCAGCTATCCATTTGCAATACTTTTGTCTAATGAGTTGTAAAAGTAATTTTATATGAGTTTGGCTTTTATATATACTTCACTGTGCTTGATGACAATAGAATGGTTTTTTTTTATAATAGAATACTTAAAGTAATTTGGTTATAGAGTCCTTTTTGGTTTCTCAGGCAGACTTACCTTTGGCTTCATTTCACTAAGAAAATTAGAGCTAAGAGCAGGAAGAATTTGATAATCACAGCCTGTGTGGGGTCCTTTGAAATGTTCATGTTCAATACATGTATAGGAAAAATATTTTACAAAGAAGTCACATTTTATCAGCATCATAGTTATTAACTTCTATTGTTCATCTTCAGGTTTTCAAGTTATCCTTTATATGTAACTCAAATAAATATAAGTAACATTATCTCTTTGAGGTGCCATGAAAAGTTTAACAGGGTATCATAATCACATAAAGTTAAATTCTGTGCTATATGAATCACATTCCCAGAACTGATTTATTTAAGACTATTTATCAGTAAGCTCAGAATTTTCTTATTAGGATATTTGGTACTTGTGGCTTATGTATTCTAGGTGACAGTGTTTTCTTAGCAAATAAAAATGAAATGATAAACATATACTGATACTCCACCCCCAACTTCTGTCACTTCCTTTTTTTTTTTTGAACTTTATTGTCCCCTCAACTCAAGATGGGATATTCATTTGAGAATTCACATTCAGTATTGCTCTGTAATAGGAAGAGTAAGAGGGGGAAAGTTTTGTGTTTTGTTTTTTTTTTAAGAATGAAGGAGGTTGGTGAGGGGGAGAGAGAAACAAATGTATTTTATTTTTAAAAACTTTATTGTTCTAAGACTTGAATAAGAATAAATAGTTCTTTTTTTCTGTAATCCAAATAAATATTCAGAAAACTCTTTGATGTTATTGCACATCTAGATGGATTTCTTTTCACCATCTGACCCTCTCTCTCTTTATTTTTTTAAGATTTTATTTATTTATTTGATGGAGAGAAACACAGTGAGAGAGGGAACACAAGCAGGGGGAGTGGAAGAGGAAGAAGCAGGCTTCCCACTGAGTAGGATCGATGCGGGGCTCGATCCCAGGACCCTGGGATCATGACCTGAGCTGAAGGCAGACGCCTAACGACTGAGCCACCCAGCACCCCAAGACCCTCTCTTTCTTTATCAAAAACCATAATATAGTAGTTGGATTAAAAGTTGATCAGAAGCCACATGAATGAAGGAAGACTTTTAAAATATCCTCCAGATATTTTTCTGGCTAGGAACTAATAAACACAGTGACAGCTATATAGTATTTTGTACTACGTGAATAATAGTCCAATATCAGGTTAAAAATAATGCAGCAAAAGGTATTATATACTAAGAGAAAAAAATCACATGGCAGATTGTGCCTGTTGTTTTTTTTTTTTTTAATTTTTTTTAAGGTGGCATTTAGTTGAGCTCCAAATAAGATTTTTTTCTGTATGTAGACGGAACTTGTTTAGTTGTAAGGTCTCACAAGAGTATGTATGCCTGAATGGTGAAATGCTAACCATTTGGAAATAACATGGAAATTCTCCATGAGCACCTTGAGGCAGAAATTGATATATATTACTTCATTTTCCTCAAGGAGCAAATAAAAACAAAACCACATAAAGAAACAAAAATATATATCTTGGGGAAAATATTTCTTCTTATGGGGAACAGAATCATTTTTCAGAATATTGCACCATTTTGCTTCTGGTATTTCAAAAATTGTTCTTCCGTGGAAGTGGGGGGGCAGGTTCTTTTTATCTTTGGAATAATAATTGCAGTATGCTTTTCACTGTGTGTTGGTTTTTTTCTCATACACCAAACTGGGTGCCAAGTTACAGATCAGTCTCACATTTTAGTTTTATACTGCAAGACCCTAGTGCCCTCCCACATGGCACGGATGAAACAAGCTTAATGTACATAAAATCATAAATGCATTTCTGTCTACTCACTTGCTATTCATATCGCAACAGCGGCACCATCTCCTCCCTGTGATATCACTTGTCTTGAAAGTTTTCGTGACTCGATGGTTCTTGGATGGAAGCAACCAGATAAGACTGGAGGGGCTGAAATTACTGGCTATTATGTGAATTATCGTGAGGTAATTGACGGAGTACCAGGAAGATGGAGAGAAGCCAACATCAAAGCTGTCAGTGACGAGGCATATAAGGTAAATGACCTTCTGTAATGTGGAGTCATATATATGATGACATGCTCCCTTGCACTCACATGCACATCCACACCCATACTCAGCGCCTTGTAAATGATTCATGTCATTTCTCCTGTGTTCATTGTCTACAATGACATGACTTTTGTCAAAAATATACCAAGGTAAATAGAAGTAATCTGACTGAGCAGGAAGGATTTGTATTTTCTGATTCATACACATAAACATAATAACTTCCTAGAATATTCACTATAAAATATTTACTTATGGTAAAAATTAATGGTTATTTCAAAACTTACAAAATATCTGTAACCAGTGTGCTGCTAGCTTCAAGGGTCTCAGAATCCAAATGACTGCATTTTTAATTTTCAGCATTCAAATCACAAAGGATAATGGGACATGGGCCTGATGCCCAGCCTCAGCTCACCACCTGTGAAGGTTCCCCCACCACAGTGGCTCTGATAGCCACGAAGGGATGGTCCACATGTGTCTAATCACAAATTTCTTTTCTTCACTGCTTTGCCCATCTCAGAGTACTTGAAGGGTCTCACTGTTGCCATAGCTACGGCTCCCCTCTTTGGAGTCTTGTCAGCTAGAGGAAAGTCACCCTCCAACACTCCCAGAACCCCAGGCTGTGAGGGCAAGAGCAGGGTGAGGCCAGGGGAATGATGCTTTCCCAAACTCAATGCCACAGTTTTTAAATCTAACATTTAAAACTTAAGAAATATCACACACATTCTGAACACATAAAGAATAAAACAAGAATATATAAAATAAAATTGTATTTTTAAGGTTCTTCCATGTTGGTGTGTAGCTATGACTTCATTACTGTATGGTATTCTATTATATGAGTGTCTCACAATATACTTTTCCATTCAGGTATTGATTGATATTTGGGCATTTTCACATTTATAGCTATAGCAAACAGTGTAGCTATGAACATTTTTGTGTATGTCTGCTGGCACATACAGGCACTAGTTTCTCTAGGTTATTACCGAGAAGTAGAATTGCTGGGCCAGAGATTCTGTTTATCTTCAATTTTAGTAGATAAGTCTATACTATTTTTCTGAAGAGTATGAGAATTCCCATTGTTGCGCATCCCTCTAACACTTGGTGTCACACATTTTCAGTTTTGACAATCTGGGTGTCAAATGAGTCTGAGTATCGTTTGCTATATATATACATACTCCATTTTGAAATCTCCATTTATAACATGTCTGTACCGAGTCTTTGCCCATTTTTCTAATAGATTTTCTTACTGACTTGTGAAGTTCTTTATATATTCTGAGCTCAAAATCCTTGGTAGCTACGGAAGCTGCATCTATCTTTCCTGCTCATTGGCTAGTATTTTCTTCTCCTTATGGTAACAACACTGTAATTCATGATAGCCAGACTTAACAACATTTTCTGTGTCATTAGTGATTGCTCTGCCTTTTTTTTTATTATGTTATGTTAATCACCATACATTACATCATTAGTTTCTGATGTAGTGTTCCATGATTCATTGTTTGCGGATAACACCCAGTGCTCCATTCAGTACCCATCACCAGGCTAACCCATCCCCCCACCCCCCTCCCTTCTAGAACCCTGAGTTTGTTTCTCAGAGTCCATAGTCTCTCATGGTTCGTCTCCCCCTCTGTCTTCCCCCACTTCATTGCTCTGCCTTTTTAATTTTTTTTTAAATGGTTTTCTGTTTTTTTTTTTAAGATTTTATTTTTTTGAGAGAGAGAGAATCAGAGACAGAGAGCACGAGAGGGAAGAGGGTCAGAGGGAGAAGCAGACTCCCTGCTGAGCAGGGAGCCCAATGTGGGACTCGATCCCGGGACTCCAGGATCATGACCTGAGCCGAAGGCAGTCCCTTAACCAACTGAGCCACCCAGGCACCCCCTTTTTAATTTTTTTTAAGAGATGCCTTTGCCTTCCAAGGTCATGGGGTTATTGTACTAGATTATCTTCTAAAAGCTCTCTGGTTTGCCACTTACATTAAAGTCATTACTTCACCTATACATTTTGTGTGTGATGTAAAGGAAAGGTCAACATTTGTTTTTGCCCTGCAGGGACACCCAGTTGTCTCATCTATTGAAAAGTTTGTCCTTTTTCTACTATTCTGCTAGACTATCTGTAGCATGTATCATGTTTCTTTGATGCACGTGTCTGCTTCTGTGTTTTGTATTTTGTTCCACTGCTGTTTGTCTACCACTGGACCAGTACCACGTTAATTTAATCATTACCACTCATAGCAAATTTGATAACTGGTAGATCAAGTTATCTCAGTTTATTTTTTAATTAAGGCTATTTTTAGCCCCTTTGCACTTTGATATAAATTGTAACATTAGATTACCACGTTCCACCAAAAAAGGACAAGCAAAAGCAAACACAATAAACAGAATTAAACTAAACTAAAACATTTTAGAATTCTGATTGGGATTGCATTGAATCCATAAATAAATTGAGGAATAATTGACAGCTTTAAAATATTAAGTCTTCTAATACATAAACATGATATTTTTCTCCATTTATTTTGGTCTTTAAAGTTTCTCAATAAAGTTTTATAATTCTCTATAGAAGTTTTGCACATTTGTTATTTATTTATAGGTATTACATATTTTCAGTGTTTAAATGGTATGTTTTTATATCATTTTGTTATTGCTGGAATAGAGAAATATACATCATTTTTATGTATTGATTTTATATATCATTGTATGTATAGGTCTTTCCTAAATTTTATTATTATTTCTTTAAGTTACCTAGGAGCTCTTTTTGATTCTCTATAAATCATCATATCATCTATAAATGAGAGTTTACTTCTTCATTTCCAAATTTTATATTTTTTGCTTCATTTTCTTAACTTTCTGCTTAAAATCTTTAACAAAATATTGATAGAAGTGGTGATCTTGGTCATTCTAGATTTGATCTTTATCTTAAAGAAAAACATTTCACCATTAAGTATTATATTTACTATCAGTGTTTGATAGACATTTGTTATCGGCTAAAGGAAGTTTTCTTCTGTTCCTAGTTAAGAATTAATTAAAATTATGAAATTTTTTTTTCTGAATCTATTGAGATGGTTATATGATTTTTCCCTTTAGTTTTGATGTGGTATATTCTAGTAATTAATGTTAAAATAACCTTGCATTCCTGGCATAAATCTAAGCTGGACATTATGTATACTCTGCCTATATATTACTGGATTTTTTTTTTTTTTGCTTATCGTTGTTTAGGATTTTTGCTTCTATGTTTATGAGTGAAATTACCCTGAGACTAGAGTTAATTTGATACAAATACCTGACAAGGATAGTACTGAAAGGGGAAATCGCAGGTTAATCTTACTTTATTGAGATACAATTCACATATCATAAAATTAACCCAATTAAAGTGTTGCTTTATATATTTTGAAGGGATGTTATTAGATGTATACAAGTGATTTTCTATATCGCTAACAATATATTTTGCCTTCAAGTCTATATTATGTTATGAATATAAATTTATCAATTTTCTTTTCATTGGTGTTTGCATGGTATATAATTTTTCATCCTTTGACTTTCTATTTTTAATTTTGTGCTTTATATGTGTCTCTTAAAAATAGTATAGAGTTGGATATTTTTCCTACCTGAGAGTCTTTGTCATTTAACTAGAGTATTTAATGTTACTACTACTTTTTAAAAAACGAATCATCTTTATTTTGTGCTTTCTATTTGTCCTGCCTGTTCTGTTTCATTTTCTGTCCTTCCTTGACTACTTTTGAATAATTACATTTTCTCCTTCAGCTTTCCCCTTTTCTCCCTCTACACTACCTTGAAAGCTATAGATTCTGGGTTTCTGGTTTGTTTTTGGTGGTTACTCTAGAAATTACAGTGAGCAAATTAACAGTCTAAATTTATTCTATTGCTTTACCCTTGTCTGAGAAGAATAGGGCCTCAGAATACCTAAGCCATTTTATTCTATTCCCAACTTGTATGCTATTGTATATGTGCTTTTAACTCATTTTTTAATCCAAAACTATTGTTGTTATTGTTTTATAGTCAATAATTATTTAAGTTTATCTAAATTATTTTAGTTAAGATTTTATTTGCTTTTAATTTCACATCTTTCACCTTCCATTTGAAATTACTTTCATCTAAATTAAATAGTTTAGACTATTCTTTAGTTATGGTATTCAGAAGGTACATACTCTTCATTTTTGTCTGAAAATAACTTTTTTCTTCATTCTCCAAAAAATTTTTTCTAGACAAAACATTATATAATGGTAGTTATTTTCTTTCACATTTCGAAGGTATATTCCACTGTCTTTTGGCTCGTTGTTGCCAGTGACATGTCAGCTTTTAGTCTGTTTGCTCATTTGAGGGTTGTCTTTTCTCTTAGACAGCTTTTAATATTTTCACTATCTGGTGTGCTACAGTTAAAATATTATGTGTCTAGGTATAGGTTTTAAAAAATGCCTTTGCCTAGGATTTTGGCATGAGGAGGATTTTCAATCTGTGGGTTGGATTTTTCAGGAAGATCTTTCTGGAAAATTCTAAGCCATTTATCACCTAAAATATTGTTGCTGCCCCATTCTCTCCCTTCTTCTCTTGAAACTCTAGTTAACATGTATTTAACATTCTCATTCTATCTTCCATGTCTATTAATCACTCTTCTCTCTTTCCTATCTTTGTGTCTTTCTGCACTGTGGTCTGTGTAATTTCTTATAACTTTCCATTAGTTTACAAATTTGCTCTTCTTTTGCATCTGATTTCCTGTTAAACACATCCATTATTTTTCTCTTATTGTATTTTTTCCCTTTTTTAGGTCACATTTTACAAAATATTTTATAGTTTGCTGTCTCCTGCAGATATTTTATTTTATTTTTTTAATGTTTCAAGTTTTTATTTAAATTCTACTCAGTTAACATATAATGTAATATTAGTTTCAGGATTAGTCCTGCAGATATTTTAAGTTTATATTTTATGTTTAAAACATAGTAAGCATAGCTGTTTTTCTAATCTATGTCTGATGATTCTACCATCTAATATCTTTGCAGGTCTGTATCTGTTATCATTGGTTTTGTAGTCTGGCTCATGGTATCTTGTTTACTATGCTTGGTTATTCTTGATTATGTGCTGCTCATTGTCATTAAAATATTATTTGCATGAATAATTTGAGCTTTAGGATGAAGGCATCTTTCTCTGTAGAGGATTTGTTTTTGCTTCTGCAAGGTGCCTGGGGATACCACCTGTTAAGTTTTTTCTTAAATCAAATACAAGGCTTTATTTTTTTGGACAATCAAGCAATGTGAATTTGCACTGTATAAAGGCAGGTTTATTTCTAATTCAACTTTACTCCCAAAGAGTAAAGCCCTTAATTGTAGAGAGTTCCCTTTTATTATCCCCTTTTTAGGTTGGGTCTAGGCTTTGATTTCTGAGTTCCTCTGCTTTTGAGATAATCAAAACCAAAGGTCAAATTTTTCTTTATTGGCAACTATCCCCAAGGTAAAAGCTACTTCTATGTTCCACTTATCTTTTTTGTTGTTGTTGTTTCCTATTTCCCTTTATTCTGTCCTGATAATTCTGTAACATCTTTTTTTTAAATATTTTATTTATTTATTCGTGAGAGAGGGCATAAGCAGGGTGAAGGGCAGAGGGAGAAGCAGAGTCCCTGCTAAGTGGGGAGCCCAATGTGGGACTTGATCCTGGGACACCGGGAACATGACCTGAGCCGAAGACAGACACTTAACCAACTGAGCCACCCAGGCACCCAATTCTGTAACATCTTAACACTAATCTGATGCTTTTGAAAAGAATTTTTAAAGATATTTTTATCTAGTATTTTGAATTTTTTAGCAAGACAATCTCTATAGCCTAGTTCACCATTGCCAGAAAAAGAAGTCCCATGCCACAATATTTTACCTAAGCCTAGAATGACCAACTTTTCCCATTTGCCTAGGACTCTCCTAATTTCAACACTATACTGCCTACATCCTTAGAAACCCCATAGTTCCAGGAAAACTGGAATGGTTGGTCATACTAATGGAGCCCCAAAACAGCCCTGTACCTGAATAAAGTACTTTTAGATCCAAGTTATCTACATGATGGTTTCTTCTTAATTAAAAAGATCTTCCCTTCTTAAAGGGAATGTGTGTGCATGTGTGTGTGAATCAAAAAGGGAGTTTGTATTATTCTGTTACCATAACATATAGCCATTATATTCACCTTATACCTTAAGTAACTGGCAAGATAAGCCTTCTTGCAGATGAACTTATGACTTCATGATCAAATCAGGTGTAGACTGGATCATAGATATATACCTTTTTTGCCTTGTCTTAAGTCATACAATAGGTAAGCTTTGTTAATTCAGCTGGTTCCATCAATACCTCCATTATTAAGCATTTTTTTATTTTTTTATTTTTTTAAAGATTTTATTTATTTATTTGACAGAGAGAGACACAGTGAGAGAGGGAATACAAGCAGGGGGAGTGGGAGAGGGAGAAGCAGACTTCCTGCAGAGCAGGGAGCCCAATGTGGGCCTCGATCCCAGGACCCTGGGATCATGACCTGAACCGAAGGCAGACAGACGCTTAATGACTGAGCCACCCAGGCGCCCCATTATTAAGCATTTTTTAAAGATTTTATTTACTTATTTGAGAGAGAGTGAGAGCATGAGTGGGGGGTGGGGGGCAGAGGGAGAGGGACAAGCAGACTCCCCTGAGCACAGATCCCGACTCGGGCCTCAATCCCAGGACCCTAAGATAATGACCTGAGCTGAAATCAACAGTTAGACACTTAACTGACTGAGCCACCTAGGCGCCCCCATTTATTAAGCATTTTTAATGCTCAAACGATTGTGTATAGTCCATGGATTTTTTTCACACTAATATATTCCATCATTTCTATTTTGCAAATGTTTCACATTCATTACTTTATCACATATATTTACCACAACCCAATTTCTTCTGAGGGATATAGAAAACATTAGGTCACTCAATAAGGAACAGAAAAATGACAGAATTTTGAATATTTTGATTCCTAGCTTAGAATTCTTTTAATTTTCATCTGTACAAGCATCAATTTTCTATTAATTTGTTATAACACTGTGTCCATGAGTCAGGAGCCTAGGCAAGGCTTAGATGGGTCTTCTGCTTGGGGTCTAACAAAGATGTCACCTGGGCTCATTCTTCTCTGGAGCTGAGTTCCTCTTCCAAGCTGATTCAGTTACTGGCAGAATTTAGTTCTTTCAGCTGTAAGTCTGGGGCCCTCTGCTTCTAGAGGCTGCCCTTCTCCAAATTTGAGTGGCTAGGTAGTTCACAATCTGGCATTTGCTTCTTCAAGGCCATCAGGACAGTGTTCTCATCATGAAAATCCCAAACCCCATTTTGACAGTTTTCATCTGATTAAATCAGGCCTACCCAAGATAATCTCCCTTTTGATGAACTCAAAAATCCACTAATTAGGGACTTTAATTCCATCTGTAATATCCTCTCTCCTTTTCCATATGATGGAACAATAATCACAGGACTGATATTCCAGTACCTTTGCCATATTCTCTTGGTTGGAAGCAGGTCATAGGCTTCACTCAAGGAGAGCAGATTACAAAAGGGTATAACTCACTGGAGGTCACTTCAGGGTGTGTGCAACACAGGAAGTAAGTAAACAAAATATTGAACAACTTAAAAAAAAATACCTGAATCAACATCCATTCTCTGTGATATTGTCATGTTGCAGATTAGCAACTTGAAGGAAAACATGGTGTATCAGTTCCAAGTGGCAGCCATGAACATCGCTGGGTTGGGAGAGCCCTCAGCAGTAAGCGAATGCTTCAAATGTGAAGAGTGGACCATTGCTGTTCCAGGTAAATCATGAAAAACATTTCTCAGCACTGAGGCTTGGGGTTTCTTTCAAAAGAACCTACAACTTGGAAGTAAATTTAAGTGCCATATCGACAGCTTCTAAGGGAAAAGAATTCTCTTTTGTTTACCTGAGATATTTTTATAATCCTATTAAATAATAGGTGCCAATATAAAACTGACTATAATTTCTTGTGCTTGTATTCCAAATAAATCCTAGAGCCCTCAGAGTTATAACTCTGCTTGGAATAAGATTAACAGAAGCACAAATCTGAGTTCCAAGTGATCATTGAAAAGGAATTCTCATTTTTGTTTGTGCTTCTTAAAGACTGTTGAAGAGCATCCAATTCATATCCCACAACAAAAGGTCTCAAAAACTTCCTCCTGTACTCCCTAATTCTCATGCATTCTCCCACTGTGCTGGAACCTTTCATTTATCAACCTCCCCCAAATCTCTCTCTCCAAGCTCAGCCAATGTGTCTCCTCTTCCTTGTTGTCTCTCTCCTCCCTTGCTGCTAGCTCTTTATTATATTATGTAGGCCGACTTAACATGCCTGCCTAGGACTTAAGTTCTGGACTTTCTCCATTTCTCCAGTCCTTTCGATCTCTCTACATTTTTGTCTCAACTCTGCATCACAATAAATTTCCTGAAACTGGCTGGAAATATTCTCCTTTGGTGGTTGCCATAGTGGGTAGTTGACTGAACAGGGAAGAAAATGGGGAGAAGGTAGAAACATTTACCTGTGCTTTTTAAAACACAGTGACAACACTGAACAAATTAAAAAATTGAATACAAACAAATTTACTAAGCCATTAAGTTTCAAACTAGCAAGACATTAATATATTTGGTGGGAGATTTTATTTTGCTTCCAACAGTACCAACTTCACAGACCCAATGAGTGCCACAGGATGACTAGATTCTCCCACTTGGGTTTAATATTCAACATACGTAACAACTGGTATAGCACCAGTATCAACCACATTAGAACACAAGGCCACACTGGAGCATTCTGGATAGATCCAGCCCTGTCCCTGATGCCACCCTCTTCCTCTACTTGAAATGCTAGTGCCCTTGAAGAACTATTTTTGCCTTTGCTTAGAGAGCTTCTGTTTGCATCACTTCTCCATCAAGTGTGAATAAAAAGATGACAAGAGAAACCCACGAGAAGTTCAAGCACTCACTCAACTTCAGTAAATATACAGGGCAAACATGCTGCCTTTCCTTGCACCTCCTTTAAGCCAGTTGGTATTTCTTAAGCTCTTTCTCTCACCTACACAAATGTGGATCTGTTTTTAAATTCTTGCAATTTCTGAATAAAGTTAAAATATGAGTGACTAGAGACTAAGAAATTCTGAGCAGGCTTGTGGAAAATGTTTTGGTTGAAAGAGATGTAGTTAGCAAAAGAGGTTGTAGGGTGAGTGCTACCTGTTTGGATGGCTCGTGGGGTTCTGAGGATGGCACAAGAAAATGATTTAAAATCCTCTTTGCGAAACAGAATATGACACACTATTATAAGGCATTGATGTTATTATTTAAATCTATTACCACGTTATTTAAACCTCTTACCTTGTCGGAAGGCAAGGATGACACATACCCGTGACTGGTAAGCCAAGGGACAGGGCCCCACAAATATTGAGCTATTAATTGCAAAAAGCATCGCATAGCATATGTTTGTAGCTGGCTTTTAGAGCACTGTGAGTCAGTTCAGGGGATTTTGATTGGTTGGTTAGAAATCAGTTATTTAAAAGAAAAAAAGGTCAGGAAAAAAAGAAAATAAATATATCACCTACATAGCAGCTGGTGGTCATGGAAAGATGTGGGAGATCACTTAGTAGTTTGGATTCTCCCAAGAGTGCAAAGAGCACATGGGCAGGGAAGACATTTGGCTTTCTTCCTAAACAGGTTGATCAAGTTACTTGGCTTCTTTGAGTTTTCTGTTGTCTTAAGGATGAATGAGATAAATAAATATAAAGTACCTAGCAGTGTTTAGCTAGGACCCACGGGATCGATTGTACTTGTTTTGGTGAAAGTTCTTTGTAAACTGTAATTGTAGTTTGTTTTTACTCCTAGGTAGAATATATGCTTTATGGAAAAGATTTCCCTCCAGAGGGGAGCTATTTTGTAATATATTCCTTTTTCCTGTAAAAGAAATATTACTATCTATATTCATGTGCCATCAAATAGGGTTGCTTTCTTCATCCTCATTTGAGATTTAGGGGAATTTACAGATTACCATCCAAAAATAATCTGAAACTGAATCTGCAACCAAATTAAGCTGTTCTTGATAAAAGATGAGGACCACAAGCCCAGGGACACCCTGAAGGCAAGTTTTCATCCAGCCTCGGAGTTGGGGGCCCCTTGAATTGGCTCTGACCACCTGCTGCCCAGAAAGGGACTTAGTAGATTGATGTAGAGCCATTGAGGAAACTTGACACAAAATGACCACAAAATACCTATTTCTACAGGAATGGTAGATTTCACAAAAGAACACTGGATTCAGCTTTAAGACTTCAGATGTGGTTCTAGATTTACCCGTATTTGCATTTTGTCGTCTACGTTACGATTTGTATACATTGGTCTCTCTGTCTCTTTTTCAGGACCCCCACACAGTGTCAAATATAGTGAAGTCAGGAAAACCTCCCTGGTTCTGCAGTGGAAGCCTCCTATCCACTCTGGAAGGACTCCGGTCACTGGTTACTTTGTGGACTTGAAGGAGGCCAAGGCCAAGGATAGCCAATGGCGAGGACTCAACAAGGCAGCTATTAAAAACACGTACCTGAGGGTAAGAGGGTGCTCATATTTTGAGAAACCCTTTTTTAAAGATTATTTATTTATTTATTTATTTGAGAGAGCGAGAATGAGAGAGAGAGAGCACATGAGAGGGGGAGGGTCAGAGGGAGAAGCAGACTCCCTGCTGAGCAGGGAGCCTGATGCGGGACTCGATCCCAGGACTCCAGGATCATGACCTGAGCCGAAGGCAGTCGCTCAACCAACTGAGCCACCCAGTCGCCCGAGAAACCTTTTTTTAAAAAGAAGAAATGCTCCCCGAATGATATTAACTTTAAAGTTAGCAAGATAAAACACAACATTTCTGCTGTGGTCTATTTCATATATTGGGCTCCTGGTAAGATTCCATTTAGCAGTGATTGGGGTTGGGGGGAGTTTCTGGTGCTTAAAGCAATTTGGTTATATTTAACCTGAATCCCTTAGCCTAGCTTCGGAAAATATTCCACAAGCTCCCTCCTCTCTCTTCTTTCCCTCCTTGCCTCTACTTACCCACCTCACATTTTTGTTACAGTCTTAGAAAGGTGACTTTCTCATTTCTTTCTCTGATTTTTTTTTCCCCCTGGGGATGGTTTTTGATTTGAGGGTGTTATTTTCATAGCATTCATGCCAGCAAGGCTTTACCTGCTGATTCCTTTGAGTCATGCCCTGTCTCACTTCATGGGCTCCCTCATGCTTGTGCTCATGTGAGCACCCAGAGGCTAGTGGAATGGGTTCATTCAACTCAGACCTAATCCTCACCCTTATCCACACCTTTGCCTTCCAGATTCCTCTAAAGTGTTCTAATTGAACAAATTCCTAACTTCATCTACCAGAGACTGTTCTGCTAAAGCCGCTGAATCTCACTTGTAACAAATGGATATCTCAGAAGAATGTTTTCTCCTGTGTCAGCAGTGACACCTGGAGACCCTGAAATCCACACTAGGGCTTCAGAAACTGTGGGAAATATGATTCTGATTCTTATGACTTAGAATGAAGTGTGGCTTCACCACAATCATACAGAAAGTGGCACGCTGCATTTCGTTTGCAGCCCGATCAGTTGCCAGAATAAGCCACTGCCTAGAGGGTGTGAGCCTTGGAAGATACTCAGAGTATGCCTGCTCTGAAAGTTCTCTCCCATTGACCTGCCACTGTGGACTAAAGTCCATGCCATCTGTCAGCCACTCTCCAGGGTTGAGGTATTTACTGTCCCCATAAAAAATATAAATATATCCTCCAAGAGAGATGACCTTTAAATATGCCATTAACTCATCTTAGCATATGCCAGTGAGCTCCCCAGCCCCGTACAAAACCTTGAGGAGGTAGGAAAGGTCACAATTCATGGGGAAGAGAAAAAGGTGAAGGAAGGTCAGGAAGTTAGCACGCTCTTTCGTTGTCCAAATGAGTCAGGAGGCCTCTAGATTCAAAGAAACTCCCAAAGGACAGTGTAAAATAAAAGTCAGACACATCCTGGATGGTGATGGTGTGTATTTATGGCCAGGATAATTTCCAAATCTTCAATTTGCCGCAGCACAGGATCCCAAGAGCTGAGGCTGGACTTGACTCAGGTTAAGCAAAACAAGGATGAGAAGCCAAGCAAAGGGGACCAACAGCCCAGAAAAAAAATGGGTGGGAAGAAAAAAGTAATACAGTTTAAACATATCAAAGAATGGTTAAGTTCACTCATTTGAAAAAAGAAAAAGAAGAGAGGCGAATATAGGAAAGAGGGAGAGAGATTGACATTGAGGTTGAATGTGCCTCACAAACTGGGAGGTGAATTTCCTGTAAGGAAATTATCTTAGAGTTTGTCCGCAATTTTTTTTTAAAGATTTTATTTATTTATTTGACAGAGGGAGAGATAGTGAAAGCAGGAACACAAGCAGGGGGAGTGGGAAAGGAAGAAGCAGGCTCCCCGCTGAGCAGGGATCCCAATGTGGGGCTCGATCCCAGGACCCCGGGATCATGACCTGAGCCAAAGGCGGACACTTAACGACTGAGCCACTCTGACGCCCCATTTGTCCACAATTTTTAAAGTGAAAATAGACTTACTGACTTTTCTGATTATAAAACGACACATGCTCATGATGAAAAATTCAAATAATATAGGCATAAAGAAGTAGAGATGACCTATAATCTTCATACCTATTATGATATAGATTTACTCTTCTGGATGTTTTATATTCAGAAAAATTTTAGGCCTGAGGTGGAGAAAAAATGTACATATTAAAAAGTTTAATCTGATAACCTTAAGTGAGGACGGGAGATAGAGTTCCATGAATGGGAGAGGTTGAACTCTACAACGAAATTGTATGTACGAAGGAAGAACACTTCTGTTTAAATGACATGGAGCACCCATCACTTCTATGCCTGCTTCTTCCAGGTACAAGGCCTCAAGGAGGGCGTCAGCTATGTGCTCCGTGTCCGAGCCGTCAACCAGGCAGGTGTTGGCAAGCCGTCAGACCTTGCTGGGCCTGTTGTGGCAGAAACCCGTACAGGTGGGCTTTTACGCTTTCGTTAAAATTAATCTCATCTGTGTAAGATACCAAAGCAACATTCAATCTTACTCTCTATGTTTTTCCTAATTTTCAAAATTATCGATGTCTGCTATCTGAATAGTTGATAAGTTTGGCCTGCGGACGTGAGTCATTTATTGCATCATAGGCACTCTTAGGACAGGGGTAAACCAGGTTTGAAGTGATCCAGGGTTATTCTGGTCTATACCTAAAAACGGGGAAGTTCTTGATCAAATTATGTTTCCTGGACTGACCATTTCAAGCATACATTCTTGGACATTATTCCTATTACTATACTGTGGCCATTAAGTCCTATAAGGATATTTTCCCAGTTGTAGGAGAAGCTGGACAGCCTAGTGAACAAGCATGATTCTTAAATGAAAGCAGAATTTATATAATTGTAGCTATTAAGTTAAGCGAGGGGTCAGCGAATGTTTTCTGTGAAGGACCAGATAGTAAATATTTTCAGCTCTGTGGCCATATCGTCCCTGTCACAATACTCAACTCTGCCATGGCACAAAAGCAGCCATAGATAATACATAAACTCATGAGCAGGCCTGTGTTCTAATAAAACTTTATTGTGCCAGTTACATGCATTATATATTACATGTAATATGAAATTTAAATTTTAAGTAATTTTCACATGCCTTGAAATATTAATTTTCTTTTGATTTTTTTTAACTGTTTAAAAATGTAAAAACCATTCTAAGCTTGCAGTCCATAAAAAAGAGGCAATGGGCCAAATTTAGCCTGCAGACCATTGTTTGCTGACCCCTAACTAAAACTAACAGCAGTTTTACCTGGATGATCTATAGAGTGGCAGGAACTTTCACTTCCCAGTTTAAAGAGATGCCATGATTGGACTAAGGAAGACAGTCTTCCCTTTTATTATGTGAACAAACTTTACAGTGTTCACTGTGCAAATAGTTTCAGATTATTACATAATAATTATTTATTTTGTCATTTAATCTCTGTTGCTTTTCAAAGTTATTATATATTTCAGCTCATAGAAGTTACATTAAGGAAATCACTATAATGGTCAGCATAGAGAATATAGGCAATCATTTTGTATACTTTGTATAGTGACAGGTGGTAACTAGGCCTGTCAAGGTGATCACTTCATAAATATTGAATCACTACATTGTACATGTGAAATTAATATAATATCGTGTCAGTTATAAATCAATAAAAAATAACCTTTAAAAAAGCATTGGAAATGAGAGAGGATAAAAAAGTATTAACCAGTTATTTTAAGTTTGCCTTCATTATAGTCCAAGCATGTTCGCTTCAATACACCTCGATTTTCAGATTAAAATAAAGAGTAGATATATAATGTGTTATTTATTTTTATGATAAGGAAAGAAAGTAAACATAGAAACTTTTGCTCTCACTGCATATTTCTTGAAAAGTATGTCAAAAGTGTTCTTTTAGGAAGTATCTACCCTTCTCATGCTATTACTTCATAACCTACTTTCAACTACTCTTATAACTACCCTCTAAGACCTGGGTGTGAAAAATGACCTTATACACAAGTGTGGAAGTTGTCTGGAGAAAGTGCCACACCTCATATAAGTCCCTTTTGCAAAATTTCATGAGAAAACAGGAAAACGCTAGGCACATATACACCAGGTAAAAGGCAACACGTGAAGACACCAGGATATATATTCATATAGGAATCAGACTCTGAAGTTGCCAGTTGTAAGGAAATAGAAACAAATGGACATGCAAAATGATCCAACTGCAGACTCTTAATAAGAACAACATTTAGGTCACCATAGAGGTAAACTCTTCACCTAATCATCAATCAGCTAAAAGCACCCTTGAGACAGTGGATTCCAAATCTGATTAACTGAAGAAAGGTTAAATTGATTTCTTATTTTCTCATCCATAGCCTCAGAATGGCAGGTGGCCAGGCATGACATTAATAAAATTACCACTATGGAAGTTTTACCACCAGAAAATGATCTTCTGATGAGCTCGTGGGCGAAGAGTTTTGTTTCACTGATTTGGAACTCATTTTTTGTGGTCATTCCATTCCCAAAATATAACTACAAAGAACAGCTGCAGACATTAATCCACAAAACAGCACCAGATGAAGCCACTCTTTGGCTCACAGCCTAGGAAAGAATCCTAGGATGTACAAAGTCAGAGTGCTTCAGCATGAAGGAGCACCAAAACCCAGGAGACACGTGGACTTGTCCATATGCAACAGGCACATTCATTCTTGGGACATACATTTCTTAAGCAGCTATGATGTGTCAGCATAATATGTATGGGCAACAGGAGCAGAGGAATACGGTATCATCACTGTATACCAGGCTTACAATCTAGGTGGAAACCTCAGAGCTTACAACATGGTGTGTGATGAGAGCTATGATAGATGTTCATAAAATATTTCTCATACCCAAATAGGCTATAAACTGGGGTTTCATAGTCCCTGTAAAAACTTACATGTAGTGTAAAGTTGTCTGTATTTAATAATTTTCTTAAACACCAATATTTTACTTTTACCCAGATATTTATTTTATGTTAGAACGGATAAGGCAGGGGTGGGGAGGCATGTTACCAATTTCAAGATTTGGGATGCGAAATTTGGATTGCTATTGCAGAAGAACAACTTCTTTTGGAATCTATTATTAAAATTTCAGAAAATAAAGCTCATCGTGTAACAGCAAGCCTCAAATAGGTCTAACAAGATATCGCAACTGTAATCTGAATTTGAGTTGAAAGTTAACTTAATCCACCAGGGTTGGGAGGATCACTGGTCTCCCTTTGAAGTCAATGAATATGCCAGCAGATGTAGCTCAGCCCCTGCCAGAATGTCCAGTTGTTCTGCCAATGAGGACCCAGAAAAATGAACCCAGTGTATCATGCTTTACCAAGAAATCTATTAAGCTAAAAAAAAAAGCCTGTAAGAAGAATAAGCTGAAAAACATTTAGTGTAGATTTGTTGGTATATAAAGGGTACTTCTGTTCTTGATATTTGATATTTTTCAAATAGTATCTGTGTTGATTGCATCAAGCCTGGAGTGGAAGGCGAGGCAGAGGCAAGGTGAGCCAGATCAGATGGGAGATAAAAGAAAGACATGCCAAGGTGTGGCAGGTGATCTGGAGGGCAAAAAATGACTGGCGGTCTGGGCTACAGGTATTGTTACCAGAGACTCAGCAGCAGGCTGGAGAATTCAGGCGATGCACAGGAGGGCCCAAACACAAGGCAGAGTCCCAAGCAGAAACCGGCTACCAGAAGTTAGGACTTGGTCTCTTAGGAGCAAGGCAGGTTAGAAGAATGCAACACTAAAAGGAATGATTGAGTTAACAACCTCCTAACCAATTCCAGTTTCTGAAAACTGGTTGGTCATAGAACCTGGCAGGACTGAGAAGGCAAACGTGTGCTCAGTCGCCTAGAGGTAGAGTCTTCAAGGATTCAGAGTAGGAAGCCAGACTGCCTGTTAAGCTCAACTGGCTTCAGTTAGAAAATTTCCCTTGTTTTTGTTTATTGACTGTTCTCTTTCACCCATTAAAACAGTAGTCCTCAACCTTCGCTGTACATGAGAATCATGCCAGGAACTTTTTTGAAAATACTGGCTCCATCCAGACTCCACTGCAGACCAATTATATCAGAATCTCCAGGACTGAGCATAGGTTCATTTTTGTTTGTTTGTTTAGCCACTTGGGTAATTCTAGCATGAAACCAGGGTTGTGAACTTTGCTTTACACTGTGGGCTCCTACAAAACAGGAACCGTGTGTCTTTTCTCCCTGTATGCGAGGGCCTAGTACCTGGTGTGTGGTAGTCATTTATTAAATGAAAAAAATAATGGATGACTACCATGTTTTGGCCAGTGAGTATGACTCTGTTTTATAGCCACAGTGTGTAAACTTAACTCTAGATATTTTGTAATGGAGGCCATGATGTGGGTACCAAAGTGGTAGGTCAGCCAGCAGTTTTGGTCTTAAACATAGGGGAGCTAAATATCACATGTGGCTGATTACATTAATTCAATTCTATCTGCTTCTATTCTGTCCCATTCTCCAGTTTTTTAAACATCGCACGAGCACACACACACACACACACACACACACACACACACACACGCCATGGAAAAGGACAAATAATGAAAGCTTGTAAAAACAACCTATTAATGCTGATGTAAGAGACTAAATTATGTGAGAAAAATTTGCCTATCAGTTTATGAAATATATAGGAATATGAACAGTTTACTGTGATTTCATTTTAGCTTTCAAATTTTTTTTTTTTAATAATTTTTTGGAGAGAAGGGACAGTTAATTTCCAAATCATTCATTTTAGCCCTGGGCTGTACCTTAACTCATTCACGTACTGGGTGTGGTGGCATTCCTGAAGGGACCATTATAATGCCATTCCACACAATCTGGTATCCCCCTGTGTCCATATCAAGGATTTGTGTAGGGTAGGGTTGAGGTAGCAGACTCAAGACAACTCTTCTTCAGTCCTTTTTAGACCACAATAATCTCTTTCAATTTTCTATAGCCAAATCTCCTGTGTTCTTACCTGAATTCTTCATGTTCTTGAGCAGATTCAAAGGTCGTTTTTGAGAAAATCTAGGTCTGGACAGATTTTGCTCCAATTTTCCAACCCAACTCTGTGGGAGAGTGGGATGGCCTTTCATCCAGATGAGAACATCCATAGGGAAGCTTTGACTTTGACAGCAGAATAGCAAATTTACTGCCTGCCAGTTAAGTATCTGAGCCATTTTGATTATACATTAATCAGCTTTAGAGAATATAGCTCTTCAGATATTTATGAGTTCAACCATGAAGTGACAGTAGCTCTGTGCTTGGCAAAAACTCAATTAGGCCATGGGACACTCTAAAAAGAAAATTTGAGGGTGCCTGGGTGGCTCAGTTGGTTAAGGGACTGCCTTCGGCTCAGGTCATGATCCTGGAGTCCTGGGATCGAGTCCCACATCGGGCTCCCTGCTCAGCAGGGAGTCTGCTTCTCCCT